GAGAAAATGAAATATTTCTCGGGTTGATGGTATCTTGTAGGATATCGTCTCTCTGAGAAGATGATTCACAGGTTGACAATATCTTAATTTTCATATTTTCCAATACCAAATCAGTTAATTATTTCATTAAAACGGATGATAGATGTCTACCTTCCGTGAAAAAAAAATGATTTTATCAACTCATAGCTACTACGGAGCTCTTTAAAATATAATTATTGTAAAATCAATCAAAATCATTGAAACAGCTTTTCTAACTGGAAAATAAAATGAAACTGTATGTCCGAAGTTTTAAATCTTAAGCTCAGAAAAACTCGATGACGTTTCCTGTTTTGAGGAATACCAATGAATAAAAATTAAAGCAAAGCTGTATATGTAGCCAAATAAAATGTAAAAATTAAAATGCATAAAGAGTAGGTGGTAATAAAATAATAATACATCGGGAATCGGGGAGGGAACGAACGTATTTAATTGATACCAACGTTATCCTGACAATGTCTTTGTGCATTGGCAATAATAACGCCAGTTGAAGTATGAAGAAAATTAAGTTTTAACGTTTGGGATTTTATTTGAATAATGCAAACTGAAGAATCAGCGATGAAGACGGACCCTCGGAGATGTTATCATATCAACAGAAATCGATGTCAATGGCATTGCCTGCGGCCGCATCACAACCATATTAAGTTTGCTGATTATGTTTGTTTAAAGCCGAAGGACTTACCTTGAAGAAATAATGGTGTAAAGATGTTCACTATGCATTCCTTTTCAAACTTTTGCGAAATAAGTCTGTATTTGAATAATGTCCATTGGAATACCGCCCTCTAGAGGTTAAAATATATGATTGAGAAAGACGACACCCTTGATGGGTGCTACTATTGAGAAAAGCGACACCCTTGATGGGTGCTACCATAATCTCACCCTTGATGAGTGCTACTTTTGAGAAATACAACACCCTTAATGTTACCATTGAGAAGGACGACACCCTTGATGGGTGCTACTATAACACCCTTGATGGGTGCTACTATTGAGAAGGACGACACCCTTGATGGGTGCTACTATTGAGAAGAACGACACCCTTGATGGGTGCTACACCATTTACTGTATTGATTAACACGACACACTTGATGGGCAACACCCTTGACGGGTGCTACTAGTGAGAAGAACGACACCCTTGATGGGTGCTACACCATGTACTGTATTGATTAACACGACTCCCTTGATGGGTGGTACTATAACACCCTTGATGGGTGCTACTATTGAGAAGGACGACACCCTTGATGGGTGCTACTATTGAGACGAACGACACCCTTGATGGGTGCTACACGACACCATTGATGGGTGTTACTAAGGCAACACCCTTGATGGGTGCTACTAGTGAGAAGAACGACACCCTTGATGGGTGCTACTACTGTATTGATTAACACGACACCCTTGATGGGTGCTACTATTGATTAACACAACACCCCTGATGGGTGATCGAGAAAGACCTCACCCTTGATGGGTGCTGCTATTGAGAAATACTACACCCTTGATGGGTGATTCTATTGATAAAGACGATACTCTTAATGGATACTTTTATTGAGAAATAAACACCCTTGATGGGTGCTACGTTGCCAACAAATTAATTCAGTATAGAATTATTAATGTATAAAGTTGTAAAACCAGTAAGAGATTATGTTTTGTAGAGAAGACAAAGAGAGTTAAAGATAATACATTGTAAATATATTTTCCAAGGAACCTCTCTGCACGATTAATAGTTCATCAGACACAATCTGACGAAGCACCAGATGGGAAAGGAATAAAAAATCCCGCCGCTTGGATGTGCAAATAAATTCGAAATAATTGTTTCTTAATGCCAACGTTTTTTGGTGTCAGTAATGTACGATTCCGAAAATAATCACGTATTCGAAATGAGCACTAGTCTTTCAAAAAAGATAACGTATAAAATTAAAAGGCAAAAATCTTCAAAGGAAAAATAAATCAATTCTAGGAGCGTAAAAGTGAAATCGAAAAAAAAAACCTAAATGTCAATCATTTTGTTCGATAAGAGAAGACGATGGATATCGACCTGCGGGTATATTAAAACAGCAAATGTATCGTTTGTTAACGATTACGAGTGAGTTCGTGTTGAGTTTGAGCGCGAACGAAGTTAGCGTCAATCATTAAATTTTGTCAATCATTTGTTCGATTTGTGAATCGGAAGAAAATAAGACATGGACCTGCAGGTATGGGTTGAAAACAACAAATATATCGTTCGTTCACGATTAACGAGTTCGTGTTGAGTTCGAGTGCGAACAAAGTTAGCGACAATCATTAGATCTTGTCAAGCATTTGTCAATCATTTGACCGATTTGTGTATAGAAAGAAAATATGACGATGAACCTGCGGGTATTGACTAAAACAAAAAATGTATCGTTCGTTCACGATTTACGAGTTCGTGTTGAGTTCGAGTGCGAACAAAGTTATAGCGTCATTCATTTAATATCGACCTGCAGGTATATTAAAACAACAAATGTATCGTTCGTTGATTACGAGTTCGTGTTTGAGTTCAAGTGCAAACGAAGTTCGTGTTCGAGCTCGAGTGCGAACAAAGTTAAAAGAGTACAAGTAAAGTTCAAGAACGAAATATGTACACGATTACGAGTGTCTGCAGAATAATTGATAGGGCCATGTGAAATTATGATTGGGCCATGCATGTGTACGATTGGGCCAAACTAAGTAGCACCTGCTATCTAGGAAGGATTTTCATGTCGAAATCATAAGAAATCGTTCTGTTTCTCTTCCAATTTGCACCATATGTACATTTTGTTTTATCATGTCCACTGCTTTAAAAATTTGAAGACAATGATTGTGAGCCGTAGTAGGGTCAATGTTTGTACGAAATATTTTTTTTCCGTTTGTAACAATTCGTGTTAGATATTTAGGGCCATGTGTAAAAATCAAACTTTTTGAAATTCTAGTTGCGTCTATCATTCATTTTCTCGTCGTTCCATATTGATTGTCATCGTGAAAAAATCCTAGGGCCATGTGTACAAAACTGTCATCGCCGTTTTCTGCCAAACACAGTTCTTCTTGCGTTATCTTCTGTACTTATGTGACAGATTATTTACAGGATTCCAGGACCATGTGAACATGTCTTACTTTGTTTTTGTAAAAAAAAACCTTTCCAATTTATTATGCGAAATTATTTTCCATGTGAAGTAGTGTAGAGATCTTCTATTCCTCCGTTCTGTAGAAATTTCTGCAATTTTCTTGAAAGCTGCTTGTGCATTCATCCCGTCTTGAGTGCGAATCGTCGTGTAATATACTCTAGAGTCATGTGTTAAGAATCTACTTTATTTGTCCACGTGACAAAAAAATTCTTGGAGATCTATTATAGGGCCATGTGCAGATCTTACAGATTCATTGAAACATATGTAGCGGTCGTGAAACGTAATCAGAATGATGGTTTCAACGATTCCACGATTATTTTGTGACATGAAATAGTCTCTGATCCTTGTCGAAACGTGTCTTGTGGGCATGAAGTATTGTTTGTGATTTGTTCTTCCAAAATATCCGATTCGCAAAGATCGATCATTGCCGTTTGTGTTAGGGCCATTGTGTAAATTTTGTTTATTGTAAATCAGGTGTAATGACACCTGTATAGCGTCGGATACACCTTGTAATCGCTCTGTAAAGTGTATAGCCTGAATTTACAGGATGAAACAATGTGCATTAATTATTTTTAAAAACCACAACACCAGTGGAAGATTTGATCGATGTTACATTTGAATTCTGATAAGTCTGATCCATAGAGCTAGCTCTATGGTCCGATCACAGCTGGTCGGCAATGTGAATGTTGTTTCCCTTTGAACCGCGTTGCGCGTCAGTGGATGCGCGTTGCTTTGCACAAACTGAAATATCATCTTCGCGACCAGTAGGCCAAATTATCTATTTAGAATAAACTAAGCTTTCATTCTCAACGGTTGAATCCATTACAGTGGTCAGGTAAGGGCCACTAGTTGGATTATTTTCACTGTCTGTATGTAAGATACTTTGCATCCAATTAGGCTTAGAGATATAAGTAGCGTAGACCTAAACTACGTTTCCCTTTTTTTCTCTCTATGGTTGTATCTTTATAGTGGTCAGGTAAGGACTACTAATATACGTTTCCTTCTTTTTATACCACAGCACCGGTCACAAATGTGATCAGGAATCCACTGTACATTGTAGTTACAAAACCTAGCTCCGCTAGGGAGACTTCTTTTATTTTCATCAACTTGCAATTAGATTAGGAGGGCCGGCAAGCCAGAGTGCTCATGTCAGGAGCTGCTGACACGGAGGAACCGGAAGCAGGGAGGAGGAACACCGGATGACTGAAGACCCTGCTTGCCGGGCATCCCATTACTGATTTCCCAGGTAAAAATATTAATGTTATTTTCCTTTCTATACAATGTCATAGGGTGTTTCAAATTGTTCTGATTATTTTGTCTGCGATTAATGATACCTTTTATTTTATTTAATACGATAAATCTAGAGGAAAATAAATTTAATGTGAAATTAATAATCATATAGAAAGCCGGCCAAACCACTTTTTGAGAGAATGTGCCGGTAATGTATCCAGTCTTTTTTTCCTGAAGCCATTTTACTTTGGAACACCCTACCCACATCAAACTGTCAACATAACTTCCTCTGCAGCCTTCAAAAGCTCCATCCAAAACCAACAAAAACATCACAGCCCCCGCTAGACATTAATCCACTCTCGTCAACTTTCAGTTTTGTCCCTGGTGGGACCGTTCGGGAGTTTGATCTACAAGACAGGCCGCGCGAGTTTTCAGTTTCTATGAGGTGAAGACTCCCCGCCCACTTTTTCCGTGTACAATAACAGAAAGAGGGCGCTAGTTACGTAAACACCCACTCCCGAAAGAACCCTGACGTCTGTAACAACATATACACAATCTGGTTAGCAGCGGGCCATTCTAAGTCCTACTTTAGTGCCATCCAATATCCATCGTACGCAGATGAGTCAGATGACAGGCACTGATCCAGATGTGAGCGCTTCACAATTTGCTTCAAAAACTAAAATGAAGGGTGTTTTCTCATTCATTTTAAACTGTCATGGCTAAGCTTGTTAGATCATCAAGGCTTCTTTCCATCGTGTGGATCATTTTCATTTCGTCTCTAGTTCAAGGTAGGTAAAAAAAGAGAGAAATATCGGTTCACGTAGTTTGTTCAGATTTCAATGTTGAGCATGTTGAGTGGAGTGACATCCGCCGTACATGCCGTACGTGACAGCTGGAAAGGAATTTGACGTTCAATAAATAAGTTAATAACCCGGACATATGTGTTCAACTGGAACAAAACAGTCTAGGAGTATGATTTATGAACAACAAACTTGCCTTGTTTTTGTTTCTAAATGTCATGAATGTGCAGTTCAGTGAGTGACTGTTTTTTGGAAACTAGAGTAAGGCTAGACATTTTTACTGGGAAAAAATTGTGCAACCTGACGCCACTTTTTTCTTCATATATCATCTCAATGAAGGTCATTCATTGCAAAAATGATGATAAGACATGAATCTGGGACTGAGATACATTTCCGATGTTGTTACTTAGGAAATAAATTTGTCTTGACAGTTGACACTTCTCTATTCCTCCCTTTTTTCTTTTTTGGAAATGCAGAGGCTAATTTTACGGAAGCCATTATGCATTTGTCAACGGTAAAAGTTATGGAATTGCAGCATACCATTGCTTATATATTTGAGCTTTTCAATTAATACTGGGATTGAAGTGCTTCAGTAGCTCAATACATTTTGTATTTTGAACATCGCTGAAGGTGCTGAGTTCCAATTCCAACGACTGCCTTTTTTTGTAATTTTCCAAAATACGTATTTTCCTACATTTATTGTTCTAAATCAAATCCTACTTTTTACTGAAGTACAAGTAATTTTTCTTGCTGATTTTATGGCTCGGAAGGATTTTTTTTTTAACGGAAGTAAAGTCTGACAGCCATTCGGTTGACAACCGACGCAAGAGCACAGCGGTCAACTTTCGTAAAAATAACAACAGCAGTTTGGAAAACTACCAAACTTTGCAAAATTTGTCCTTAATTGTAGAATTTTATCGCCTTTAAACCTTACTGGAAGAAAAACAATTGTCTACTCATTTTGTTTTATTTTAACGTTTTGTTATCATGGTATTTTTAATTTGGGCAGCGCTTTTCGTCCAAGCATCCCTGTGGCTCAACTTGTGGTCTGATGCACAACAGGAACAGTTCAACTGCACAACTTTTGACTCCGATTCGTGTGAAAGGTGTCAACCAGGAACAGCTTCTAACCAAAGTAATTTTTTAGAGCTAAATTTTCAAGGCAGTTACTTTTAAACTTTCAACAGTATCCTTAATTAAGGAATAGTATAGTTGAATAATTTTCTTCAGATGTTGCTGATATCCTTAAACTTATTTCAGCAAAACAAGTTATACATCCCTTTAATCATGTAACCCCCCCCCCCCCTTTTCGAAACAAGGTGTTTTTGTTTTTTTGTATTCCTTGTTCTGCCAGACCCTTCAAGACAAGTTGGCACTATTCATAAGAAAATGTCGAATGCTACATTTCATTTTGGGGAAACCAACATTTTCTGGTTTTCTCTTGTATCTGATTTGTTAACAACCTCCCCAGAGTCTTCCTGCGATGACGTTTGCAGTTTCTATAAACAATGTCAATGATTTCATTGCTGGAAGTTTCCGAGAACGTGCTCAGAATGAATTCTGATTCAATAGGTCAATTGCAGATTAAAGGGAAAATACAACATTTGCAAACATCGAAAAATAAAACTGCCAAGTTTTTAGGAAATACCTTACTAGGATGTTGGTAAATGGCAGTCTAAAGCATCCTGTAAAATTATGGCACCTGGTGTGAAGTCATTTTCAAGAAAATTATATTTTTGTATACATTTCCAACGGTGGTCTTCCGACCACCATTGGAAAACCTGACTATTTTTCAACTACTGCTCCAAATTTACCATTTTTTTTTTTCAGTCCAAATTTTGTTTGCTATTGGTTGCATGTTCATGAATGGGTGCAGGTCAGCTAGACTGGTTCCCTTACTGTACAATTTTCCGGCATCTATAATTGATCCATATCATCTTCAGTGGAGTCAGGGAACCAGACTACTTGAACATTTGAGTTTTTCTTGGTTTTCCAGCATTTTCGAACACAAAACTTCAAACTTGTCAGTGTAACAATAATTTGATCTTTTATACTAACCCCTCAAATAGTTCATTTCTGAAAATTAAAGCAAAAGCCAATGATGTACATTCCCTTTAACTTGTCCAGAATTTATCCAGGAGATTTTTTTTTAATGAGGAGACTCATTCAGAGATCTTTTTGTGCTGATCAGTTTCTTCATCCTCAAATTCCCTCGATGTGTAAATTTGGCTGACTGCCCCCCCCCCCCCCCCCCCAACCACAAAAAAAATCACTCTCATCAGAGATCACCTCTTTGGAAGCTTCACTCTCAAAAAATATGACAAGGCAAGCTCATTAAAATTGGGCCCATAGAACACAAAATTTGATTCAGTTGCTTCAGAATTTTGCTATTCGCTCTTTTCACACTGCCACCATGGGCATGCACAGCCTCGATCTGGCAACTTTACACAATAAATATAGCCGGTTCAGTGATTCCCGTGTCGGGGTTCAGATCACTGAACCGGCTATTTTCATTGTGTAAAGTTGCCAGATCGAGGCTGTGCTTGCCCAATGGCGGAGCGTGAAAAAGAGCGAATTCACTGGAACGTCTTTCCAAAGTGGGCAAGATTTAGTGAGTTAGCCCATTACGGGGTAATCCTATACAATAGCACTGCCCGGACGTCTTCACTGGCCAACAACCAGGCTTTCATAGTCGCATGTGACAGTCATTCAGTCAATCACTACTTACTTGTAAACTTACATAATTATCCCTAACCGAACACAACCCATCAAAGTTCCACAGCAGGTTTGTGTTTAAATCTGTTGGGATAGGTACAGTTCCCCTAAACAGATGGTCTTTTACACTGGGGTTGGCATACCTCCAGAAACTAAGTCCAACAGTGTGTGTGTACAATCCTATGTAAGTGTTGGAATTTGCCTGCATGGGTATGGTTCCTAGTAAATTAGGCTGGGGAGTTGTCCTTTCTTGGATTGAGAAATCTCTGGAGCTAGCAGCCGTTTCACCATGGAATTCCAGTGGGGTCTATCATGGGCTAGTCAGTACTAAGAGAAAAAAAATGAAGAAAAAAGAAATCCATGAATATGTACATTCTAAGATTGCCGATATTACTGCAGCACTCCCTGTGTTGTTTACAGGTACCCGGGACTGTGTTTGTTGTGCCAAGGCCCAGTTGCACGGGGAGTGTGCTGACGCTGGCTGCTATGAGTGTGCCAGGGGTACATATCAGCCTGATGAGGGACAGACAGCCTGCAAGTTATGCCCAGAGGGACACTACGCAGAGTAAGTATGCGCAACTTTTAAGATGATTCTTTCAAATGATTTTAAAGGGCCCATATAATGTATTTTATTTTTAACCCTAACTCCCTAGGCCTTTTTGTTAGGATGTAGCCTCAATCCTGTAAAATCTTCCACCTGGCCTCATGGAAAAATAGCAAACAGCCTCCATCTTGCAAATTCCTCCATTATTTCTTGAATATGGTCCGTGGAGAGGTGACCACTGCCTGAATCCTGCAAAACCCTTTGGCTTTGTCTGTCAATAGGCTGAGGCTGAGGCAGTGACATCCTGGAGCAGTGCGGAGGATTGCTAGTAGGCCCTATAATATAGGCCTAAATTTATGCACGGCAGAGCATAAACAACACAAGGTCCGGCCCAAGACCTTGACACGATGCGTCCTCCGAAATCAGCAACGCACTTTTGCCATGTAACCTCAATCCTGCAAATTCCTCCAATTTGCAAAAAGGATTCTGGAGGATTAGGGATGGTTAGCATGGTTAGGGTTAAAACAATCCTTGAAAAATGCACCTTTGTGTCCCATTTATACCTATTTTCAATTTTCATTTTGCCATTTTCAAGGATATTTTGGTGCCTTTTGGATATTTATGCTAATGCAAATATCCATATTCATGAGCAAAAGTGTGATGTCATTTCAGGCAGAAAACTCACTGTTACAACTAGTTTCAGCACCAAAAGTTGCCAGAATTTTGGCTATTTTGCTGTCGTAAATTTTCATTCTTTTTAGTGATTCGTTGTTGTGTCGGTACATCATTGTACATGGCAGTAAGCCAATGAGCAAACTTTTCCCACAAACGTTTTCAATAAGCAAATGTTTTTGGTTCACAATTTGAACAGAACACACCTAAAATGAACCGTGTCTTCCTGAAATGACATCACAGCAACAGCGCCCTCAGTGGTCCGAAAAGCATGGAAAATGTTTAAATGTTTAGAGAAGTGCACTTATCAGTAAAATTAAACCAAAAAGGGACGTCAAAGAGTTTTCATACATTTAAGAGGATTGGAAAGTTCCACAAAATATGTTCCTAAGAAATATTCACTTCATGGGCCCTTAATAAGGAATTTACAATGGGTTGGACGCAATGCAACTTTCGTGGTAACGCATTGTACATCGTAAGTCACAATGAGATTTGGAGTTATTACAAACAATCGTACGTATTCCTCCAGAGTTTCTCCCGTTTTTTTTCAAAACCTCACAAACTCACAGAAGAGATTCGTCACATGGTGCTGTTGTCAATTTTATCATATTATTCCTCCATGTCACCAGACATGTTCAGAGCCTGGTTTTTTTTTCAAATAACAATCGCAGAAACAATTTCAAATCTGGAGGTATTTATTAGGTAAAAACTTCAAAAACTAAAGATACATTAAGGAAAGGGTAGTTTACTTTAAAATCTACAGTTTTATTTACAAAACTGTCTGACACTTTTTTCCAGTTAAGAGACGATATTCGTCTGGCGTTTGTTATGTAACTTTGAAATCTAGCGATTTCAAAAATTCTAGGACTCTTCATTGAATATTCAACAGCTATTCACTGTTTGCAGAGTAAATTACATAAAACAGTCATCTGCATCGTTCGTTTTTTGTTATGACTCTTTGTTGTGCAGTGAAGACGGAAGCCAGGCATGCAAGAAGTGTAGTCTCGGATATTATTCAAACATAACCGGTGCGCCCGGCTGCAAACCGTGCAAGCCCGGCACCTTTGCCAACATGACCGGGTTCCCGTTTTGCATCGAGTGTCCGAAAGGCCAGAGCCAGAACGGCAGCGCACAGTCAAGTTGTGTGGCTTGCCAACCGGGTGAGGCTTTTACTAGAATGTATCCTGAATCCACCAAAATCCACCAATTTTGTCGTGCCAAAAAAATGTTGGTGTCCTGAGTCCATCAGAATCCACCAGTGAGTCCATCAGAATCCACCAGTGTAGTACATACCTGGTACACACCAAACATATAGCCAAGGAGTTAAACTGTTGAGATCCTGAATCCATCAAAGTCCCCCAACTGCTCATTATGGAGGTATCCTAAATCCATCAAAATCCTGCAGTACCGCCAGGCTTACTGTCCTGAATCCCTCAATATCCCCCAACTTTTTCAATATGGAGATGTCTTGAATCTGCAAAATCCTCCAAAACAGGGGCATGGATTTTGATGGATTCAGGTTCGTTAGGGTTAATTGAACTTTGGGTTTTTTTCCTGTAATGACATTAGCTGTCATTAATGGCCAGAAATGGAATGCCCATAGCCATTGACAGCAAACATGTGAAAAGTTAAAAGCTTTTAAAAATCACCCCCAATTTTTTTAACTAAATTGCTGGGGTTTTGTAGCAGTTCAAAGTTATTCACTTTTTAATGAGACGTCAAACCAAAGCTTACAAATTTGGATTTATATTTGGCCTGACAATCATTCAGTTCTTGCAGGGTAGGCTGATTCCGAGCCCCCCCCCCCCCTTCCCCCACCCCCAATCAGAATAAATAATGTAGAGATCTGAAATCAGTCTTTTTGCAGGACAGATCAGTTTAAGCACTAAAGCAGCCTTTTTCAGATGGTTGCCGACACTGAAAATTGGAAAAACAGTTAGTTGTGATGTGAATAAAAAATTTTAAAGCTGAAATCTGTTGACGATTTTTGTTGAAGAGCATGGAGAATTCATCTCTAACACAAGTTTTGTCTTGTTTGCTCCCTTCTTGTCGCCAGGCCACTTCGCCAACATAACCAAGCTGACCACTTGCTTCACCTGCGCACCGGGATCTTACTCCAACGTGAGCGGGGCCTTCAACTGCACCAAGTGTCGGGCCGGGCACTTCCAGCCCGACGAGGGACAGGACAGCTGTGAGGCCTGCGACGCTGGCACCGAAGCAAAGCAAGTGGTCGTGACTCAATTCGGGCGATTCGCAATGCAGTGCGCCACCAAGAGTTTGCCGTGGAGAGTCCATTTTTTCAAGTTTACGGTCGACAAAACGTGGCGCGTTTGAACGGGTGTCAGTAGACAACTTGAGCTAATTTGTTATGCGCCTTATTCACGAGTCGGCCATATTTAATTGAAAGTGAGGTAAAATCTTCATTTTTGGAACTTGCGAAGAGAAATGAAAGCAAGTAAATTACTAATTTATTCAACTCTGCTTCAATGAATAATTAAAAATGTTGTAATTGAACATTCCCTAATGTTTAAAGCCAGATTACGAAAAAAATCTATTACTTCCTCCATGGTGAAATAAAGCTGCATGTAATAGTCTGGCGCCATCCCATTCAACAGTTAACAATTTATGAAATGCATTCAGGGAACTCAACAGAAATGGCCAACTCGTGCAAAAGGCCCATACATAGCGGTCTGCTGCCTTACAAAAAAAAAAAACATTTTGATAAAAAGAAAACAAAGAAGGGCAAACGTATACTTGAATCATACGCTTACGAAACTACTGACCGGAAAAACTAACAATTTTAAATGTCCCGCGCCGCGAGTTTTTTTACCATTTCCCACAATGCACTGGGAAAAATTAACTCTCTGTGGCAAACTCTTGGTGGCGCACTGCTTTGTGAATCGCCCGGATTGTGCTGATGGCATTATCTTACATACTCTACAGTATGTCCCCCAAAAATGTCCGTCTGACTATTTTTCATATAACTGCAAAACCATGAAGTCAATTTTGGAAATGTTTGGTTGTGTAGATACTCCTAAAAAGCCTTGGCCTCAACCCCTATGGGCTCCGTGCGCCAACGAAAGAGGGCGCCCTTTTACCTAGCAACGACGTCCCATGGGCAGGACATTTAGCTGGTTGACGCGCACCGTTCCTTGTGTGTGACGCACCTACACCAGGGGATTTGTACTATGTACACGCAGTGGTACGGCCGTGCGTTGCGGCAAAATTGTAGTCGGGCAAGATGGCGTCGGTCGGTCACCCCCAACTGTACTTTGTTTGCCTGTGAGGGGGTACTTGTGAACGGAGCGGATAAGTTTCATTTTAAATTTCAGTCATACACCACCACACAATTGCACATTTCTGTGCTGGCATGTACATAAATTCACACTTGTTCACCTGTTTAATTGATTGTTTTCAATGATTTACAGGAAAGTTGGCAGCACCAAATGCACCGACTGCCCAGAAGGTTTCTTTGCCAACGTAACCGGAACAAAGGATTGCCTGCCTTGTGCACCTGGTAAGCAACCTGTATTTCTTTCCGAAATCAAATTCAACCTCCCTGTCCCATCATTATACCAATGTTAAGTTGCTCAGAGTGGAATGGGAGGAATATTATCGCAAGGTAAAATCGATAATATTCCTCCCATTTCACAATTTAACGCCACTCAGTATTTGTTTTATATAACTGACATTGTAGATCCTTGTCACTTAATTAACATTCATAAATACCTAAGACAGTTTACCAATCCCTATTTGTCGAGAGCCCGTCACGTGGCCGGTCTTAAACGGATGATAAAGGCATGGCTAGCTGGTCTTAAACACTTTTCCAGTGTCACATGAAATTTGGACTCCCATGAAATCCGGTGCCTTATAAACGTTTTGTTAGTTGAACGTTCACATTCCTCACGTATGCATGCGCAATACCAGTGAATCAGTATTTCATGGTTTGAAATTCACACTACACCAGCCCAGCTTCGTTTTGCGCGACGTCGCGCAGTATGCGCGACGCGCACGCCAATCTCCTTACAAGGTAACAAGTTGTGGAGGGGCATTCCATACTATAGTCAGAGGGGTGTTTCGTAAAACATGAAGTAAAATTGTTGAACAAAATGGTTGGCAACGTCTAGTTTTTGACTCGTTTTGATTTTTGGACCGAAAAGATTTGTTTTTTTGAGCGAAAAAGGGATTTATGGGTTACCCTCGGCTTCGCCTCGGGTAATTATCACCCATCCAGACTCCCACGGGTCTTAAACAGAGTATTATAGTACCTCCCGAACACACTTTTATTCCCTTAGTTAAAATGAACTTCTATATCAATGCAAAACTGGTTTGAAATGTATTTCTCTCGTCCCAACCACCCCTTCACAAAATGTTTGAACCCATTTCTGTACAGTGTCCTTTTATGGTTCAGACCATAGGTTTGTACAATCTGTGTACATCATTGCCTTTCTATTTAAGGTTCTGCATCGGACGAGACAGGAACGGTGAATTGTTCCCTGTGTCAACCGGGCATGTACCAATCATTAGCGGGGCATGCAGACTGTCTGCCGTGTACCGCGGGGTCATTCTGTAACAAGACTGGATGTTCCAGGTAAGAAGACAATTTGACTCACCTCGATAGTAACCTGACAGGCTGGTAAGAAGACAATTTGACTAACCTCGATAGTAACCTGACAGGCTGGTAAGAAGACAATTTGACTAACCTCGATAGTAACCGGACAGGCTGGTAAGAAGACAATTTGACTAACCTCGATAGTAACCTGACAGGCTGGTAAGAAGACAATTTGACTAACCTCGATAGTAACCGGACAGGCTGGTAAGAAGACAATTTGACTAACCTCGATAGTAACCTGACAGGCTGGTAAGAAGACAATTTGACTAACCTCGATAGTAACCGGACAGGCTGGTAAGAAGACAATTTGACTAACCTCGATAGTAACCAGACAGGCTGGTAAGAAGACAATTTGACTAACCTCGATAGTAACCGGACAGGCTGGTAAGAAGACAATTTGACTAACCTCGATAGTAACCGGACGGGCTGACAATGCCCGCGCATTGAAACCGCTGTCCGCCATTGTGGTTTACTGTGGTCCAATGGTTACGGTGTTCGACTCGTGTGCCGAGGTACATGGGTTCGAATCCTGACCGTGGGAACATGGTGCTTGTGCTCTTGAGCAAGGCACTTTACCATTATTGCTTCGTCCTTCGGATGGGACGTAAAGCCGTCGGTCCCGTGTGTTGTGTAATGCACGTTAAAGAACCCAGTAACACTTATCGCTTAAAGGGAAGGGGTTTGCCCCGGTGTTTCTGGCAGTGGCTGCAATATGCGCCGCAGCACCTTGTAAACCCTTATAAGGTGCTACATAATGGGTCTCATATTTATCATAAACTTCATTTACCTGTCTTTAATAATAAACATAATTTCCAGCGCCTTGAGTACCTAACTGTTGGTAGATACGTGAGCTATATAAGACTCTGGTATTATAATTATTACCCATGACACTTGCGCAGTAAAATGCACGGTGTGTTTTTTTACGTGTGTCACATTTCGTCAGAGTTCAAGCGACGAAAATAAGAAAAGAAGAAGTTTAAGAATCACACGTGTGAACCATTTCACCAGATTGCATCGGAGGACGTGATTACACACACTGGCTGTTTTTATACACAGGCACAGCTGAAATGGGCTAAGACGTCAAGATTGCCTTGACTCGCCTCCGGGTGATGTCTAAACACGCTAATCCCTCGTGCCTTTTGTACACACACACAAAGTCTGTGAAGTCTGTGGAGGCGGACCGTGTGTTGATCTTGAATTGGTTATTGTACACGGCCTATTGTTGTACAATTTACGCTCCAGTGCACACCCCGAGTATTGAAACATATGAGGTTTCGGCAAGAACTATCATACAAAAACTGTTGAAATGACTCTTGCGAATCAATATTTGTGGCATTTGGCTGTATACATCAGAAATTGGGTGCTATATTTTGCCTTTTTCGAAAATCAGCATTTTCCGCAAAAATAATCCTGGCGCGAAGTGGTTAAAATGACCATAAAGAACATCATGTAGTTAATAGACCTAAGAAGTAATGACATCGCGCTTTGTTTACATGTGCGCTTTCCTGTGTGAACCAGTTTGGGACGGGCGCTACCAAGCTCCCATAGTAAAACGCACACATTTAAACAATGCGTGATGCCATTATGTCCTTGGGCCTACCGTATCAGCAAATCCTGTTACATAGTTTTTTGGTATTGATTGGGTATTGACAATCTACTCATCCAAGTTTTTTTGTTGTTTCCAGTTGCTTCAACTGCCCGGCCGGTCGCGAATCCCGTCACGCCAAGGCAACAAAATGCACCCCTTGTGAATCGGGCAAATATAAGCCTGTTGCCAGTAGTGACCAGTGCACCGAATGCAGAGATGGGTGGTACCAGAATAAGACGGGCCAGTCAACGTGCATCGAGTGCCCGGCTGGCTACTACTGCCCCGTAAGAAAACCAATAACAGTGTTTTACATTGTTTTTTTTCTTTCAGCACCTGATTTCGCGAAGTGCTGGGACACGTCGTAACTTCATTCTTGACGTGTTGTATGATCAATTTCACGAAACTTGGGATGTGTTGAACGCGTCGTTAGTTCCTTGACAACTGCTTAAAACACGTCGCAAGTTACGACGTGTGTAGTGGTCATCGCAAAATAAGAAAAGTCATTTTCTTTGTCAGTTTTATGCCATACAAGCTGATTTACCCGATCATAGATCGGGTATATAGGGCGTAGTGTTGGGGATGAAAATGTGGGCAGTTAAATGTAAATGGGGGATCATTGAGGAGACATGCAGTTATAGAAAAACAACTTTTGTGGTGTGATCTGAGGCAATTTCTGACCACTGAAACCAATTTGAGCAAAAGATCATCTTTTAAACATCATTTTCGAGCTTGGGGTAATTGAATCAGCTACACGGTATTCTGAGCAATATAATCATTATAGTAGGCTACAATTTTTATTCGGGGAAGAAAAAGTGTGGGGGGGGGACCAAACAATGTGCCCGCTTTAAAATGTGGGGGGGGGGGGGTCCCCCTGTTCCCCACCGATTTACGCACATGATAATTATGTACCCTGATAACTGTCTGTAAATGTTCCCGTTGGTCTGTTAAATTGGCATTTTGTGAGGCAGTGGCATTGCCGGGAGAACGTAGTGAAAAGGTTACCGTAGTACACAGGCGAAGGCTGATTGTACAGTGTTGACACTAAATCATAATGTAATCAAACGTGAAGTTGTCATTTGCAATGGAAATGTTGAGTGTTACCATCAACTTACAAACGGTGTGAATGATGGAGGAAGGTCATAATTAAGTTTCAGTATTGGACTCTTCAACAAACGTAAACTTGAACTTCTTACAATTTGCGAGACCGTCTGCGAGGAAAAAGTCGATTCAACTTTTATTCAAGTTGGTCAATCATCTATATAAGAGCAAGTTGTACGTGGCCTCCGAGACGATGTTCGCTCCTGAAAGGTTCCGAGACCGCGGTCTCCCGCGACGCCAAAATGGCTCCACGTCCATAGAAAATACGGAGAATTTCTTCCGCCAAATCAAGCACTTCAGGTCGTCCTAATTTTTCCGTACGGACCGGTGATCCGTTTTGTCGATTTTTTTGTGACTGCGTTCAAGATCGCAATATTTGAAGCAATGCATCGACCCTTTGTTGATCCCAAACAGGCCCCCTTATTATAACGCGACACTGACTGTGACGTGCAGCGAACTCACAACGCTCAGCCTTGGTGGAAGCATAGAGCTAGTGGAAGCATGGAGCTGTAAACACATTATGGAAGCAACAGCACTCTATCACGCGACGTCACATGCTTGTGCTTCAAATAGCGAGCACCTTAGACTCAACCTCGTTTCCAGGGTGTGGAGCAGGCTGCAGTACGCGTTGCCAGTGACGGTTTTACGCATAGCCGGGAAGTACCACGCAGTGTAGACTTTCGATTGGTCAGACCGCGCTAGGCATACTAATGTGTAGTCCTTCTGCCAGTTCGTTGCACTTGGCGCAGGGGCGGCAAGCAAAGCACAGGAAAGAATAGGGACACTTGGTGGCCACACACCATGTACAAAAAATATTTTACCAAGGTCACCCCATACTTACGTTTGGTGAACGCTTTTGCAGAACGGCTGAGTAGAACACGTAAACGAAACCCCTACGTTGACCTCGCCGACCTCGCTGACCTCGCACAGTCTAGACTCGCAGAAAAGCCAGCACGGGGGGCGGCCAGGCAGTCAACGTGAAAGCGCACACGACGGCAAATTCCTGTGCAAAATGCAGTCACGAAAAATCGACGAAACAGATCGCCGGTCCGTACGGGAAAATTAGGAAGACCCGAAGCGTCCGACCCGGCGGAAGACACCCTCCGCATTTTTCCACGGACGTGGAGCGATTTTGGCGCTGCGGGAGCCCGCGGTCTCGGATCCTTTCAGGAGCAAACATCGTCTCGGGGGCGAGTAAACTTCTCTCTTATATATATAGATACATAGCATATTACCGAGACAATGTGTGTAAAGTCGTAAATAGAAAATTAATTGAACAATTATGAATTAGACTGGAATATTGCAGTTGAAATTTCAAAGAAGCTTTACAGCCCACTGAGAGCTTGTTTTCCTTGAAAATTGCATCACGCATCCGCAATTTTGTTTTAAGTTTCAAAAACTTTTCAAGAGGAGATCCAACGACTATTTGTTGAATATCAGAGGACTATTTACTGTACGCTGAATACATACATAAAACAGTCACTGAGTTGTGCAATAAATACACCTACAACACATCGCGTACTTACGACGTGTTTTGTGAAATGGATCGCAGGACGTGTCCCAGGTGCGACGCATCGTAGGGATACGGCGCATCGCAGCACTGCGATGCATCGTAAGTAACAATGAGTTTCATGAAATCGGGCCCTGGACTAAATTTGCGCGCACCTCAATGGGCTCCATGCATGAACAAGAGAGGGCGTTTCTTTTTACTACTTTCGAGAGCCCAGTGGACGTGACAAACCCCGTGAGCGTACAAGTTCGTGGGAGTATGACGTGAAGTACGCACGACTAATTCTCCTCTCAACGTTGAGGGGGTACTTGCGCACGGAGCCTTAATGTTAAAAGATGACAGTTTTAAATGTCAAACAGTAGACAGTTTTGCATGAGAACTGTTACAGTTATGGTCGCAATAGCTCAGAGCGAAATTCATGTCCAAAATTTTGCCATAGCGCAAGCTGATGTGTGTGACGTCATGGCGTGTATGGCTATTGCATGTTTCTAACTTGTGTGGTGGTGGCGGTGCAGTATTAATTACTTGACTGTGGTGTAGTTAAGTACTACGTCCGTAAATTGATCGGCCGTTGATAAAATAGCAATCTTTTGTTGGCAATTTTCCCGCGTTCCCACCAAACCACTATTTCATTATCATCTCAGAATAATTTCGTCACTGCCTGTGTACATGGTCTATGTTTAAATGTACTTTTATGTATTATTAAATGTGTAATGGATATTTTTTTTAGGCCTGAAACGGAATTTATGATTTTTGAAAATGGAATTTGCACTTTTCTGAAACGGAAGATCATTGGCCGTAATTTTGCAAAGAGGATTTGGGAGGATTGGGTGAAAATTTATTTTTGTGTATTTTTTTTATTTTCATTTTTTTTTAGTGCAAATATTGCGACCCGGTACCTTGCCCCAAAGACGCCTACTGTCCAAAAGGGAGCATGACACCCAAGATCGTGACCTGCTTGCCACTCTTCTACGAAACTGCAAAGGTAATGCCTCTCATCTATAGCGCATTGCTAAAATTTCCTTCTTATTACGGCTGTGCGTTTTCAAGTAATTTAGTATGCGATTATTCTAACTTTGACTTGATCAAATATTTAGATATTTGATTTCAAAATGTACGGCTCAAGTTGAACATGCGCTGGCTAAACTGGCCACTGATCAGGGAATCTCTTCGACCCAAGCTTGTTAAAAATTGACAGAGAGCTTTCCGTCAAACATCTGCAGTAGAGCACCGAAGTGTGACGTCAAATGTCATTATTCTGGGTCACTCTGGCGCACTTCGGAACCCTTAACCTATTTTCACCCCATTTCATTTTTGACTGCTAAATTCACTGTAAAAGAACAGAAGGATTTACGAACGCCATTTTCTAAAAAACGAAAATTACATATACAACTTCAATTTGGCGGTCGAAATTTTGTTGCTGAACCAATAGATATTGTACACCATTGAAAAGCTGCCTTTGTCTGTTGACTGAGTTTGACTAGTCGCAGCGCTTGCTTGAAATATGATCTGACTGTTGGTGACTAGCCTGTGTAAAAGGCATGTCAGCCGAAGGGGAAGAGGATTGATTTTTTTGACCGTCTGTGACTGTTCGAAGAGGAGGAGGGTTATTGAAATAAATGTATCATTGATTTGAAATGTATTGAATTGAAAAGAAAAGTATCCAGGCCTTCAGAACCTTTCGATTCTATTAGAAGATACCATATTGCCAGTTTTCTTGGGTTCCCCCCCCCCCCCATTTTATCTTATTTTTTTCATTTCGGGGTTTCATTTTAGAAAGACTGCAAACCTGAATCATCCCTCTACGTTGTTTTGGGACTGGCAGTAATAGTTGTCGTCTTTACACTGACTTGTGTCGTCCACCGCTGCATACGCGTCCGCTCTCGCCCCAACCTGGAAGTGGAAGAATCGCTGTTGTCTAACTCATCGAAAGATGGGGCCCCGGTATACGAAGGATTATAGGGGGCGCTGTTGTGATAGTGTTAGTTTTTATACGTCAGGAGGGCAAAAGGATTACAGCAAGTAAGACACCAGGTGTTTTTGTTGGAGTACTGAAGCCTGTTGATAGCATGGTTTGAGGGTGGATAGGGTTGGATAGTCGACTAGTTCCCGAGGCAAAACTAGTTTGTCAATTCCGAGGGGAGCTAATATGGACTATCCACCCTCAAACCTTGGTATATTTGTTTTACTATACCTCATACATATTTAGTTGCCAAATTTCCTGATGCAGTATGCTTCTCGCGGGCATAAAATCTTTGGAGAACCTTGTCCAGCTCACCAGAAGAATATTATTGCTCAACCTCAAAAAAATTCAGTTCTTTTGCAAGACCGTAACTTCTAAGAGTTTTTACTGCATTGTGGACAATTTTTTTTCATAGGGGAGGCATCTTTATTTGTCCACAATATTCTCCAGTTCGGCATCATTGAGCTCGGGAAAACAGTAATTAACATGTACGTGTGCCGCCATCTTTTCATGTGTAGCGCGTGCGTACTACACCCGTGCGACAGTTCCACGATTGCTTGAAATGCATGCGTAGTAGACTGTGGCACGGGTTACCAGCGTGACAATCTACTACGCATGTGTATTTACCCTGTGCGTGAATGCGCGCGCGCACTTGGTAAACAGCAAAAATAGCATCTGGCATGTGATAGTGAGTGGACCAGTGAGAATTCGGCTCTCGATCATGAATATGTATGAGGTATAGTAATATGCTATTTAGCCTTTAGGTACACGTACCTGGCTCCATTTCATCCATTTTTTACATGAAAATTACTCTATCAATTCTTGTTGAAATACCATTGGGTAAAAACTAAAACTTAAATAAGAGACTAAAATGTCTTTTGGGACACACAATTTTGTTTAATAAACTTGAAGGACTTATTCTAATTTACAAACAAATATTAAATAACCGTTGATAAGAACTGTATTCAAGCATGGTTCGAGCAAGCCCGACTAAATCGAGATTCCATCAGATGTAAGTAGGTAAATCTTCGCGTCGTTAGCATTTTTGTTCTCATGCAAGTACGTGGTGTGATAACAAACGTGATCGAACAAGGAGACCTAGGTACGGAAAATCCGGATGTGAAAGGTCGTAAGTAAAGTTTGTTTTTACCCATCTCCAAGTGATTTCTCATCATTTTTTTTCTCGTGGAATGCCAAGATAGAATTCCGACATTAATTTTTCGCTGGGGTGATTATGGTTGGGAATCATTCTGTCAAAAATTATAGCAAGAGAAAAGGCAACCCCGTGTAAAATGGCCATAGAAGAGTCGCGTAGGAGTCCGGAAGCTCAAAGACAAAATGGCGTACTTTCAGGCTCTATTGACACTGTGTTCTCGACAGTCTTCACCTTTATACTGCTTAAAAACCTTCATGTATTAGTATTACCTCTGCCAAGGAGGTTATGTTTTCATTAGTTATGGACGGATTTTCATGAAATTTTGTTTTTAGGGGTGGTCCTTGTTACAAGGACAAATTTATTAAATTTTGGAAGTGATCCGGATCTGGGTCTGGATGCAGGATTGTTTTTAAGGATTCTTGTGCGAATGTGCTATGTTTAGATACCATGAACCTGTGTACAACTGAGCAGCTTTGTGTGCGTGCACTGACCCGGTGAACCCGCATGCCTTATCACCGACTTAATCTAACCACACAGGTCAATGGACTAGACCATTTGATGCAACGGGGGAGTGGAGAGGTAGACCGACACAGGCATATACATGTAGACTACAAAATGTTTGAGTTTAAGGATTTGTTTTATTGAATAACTAACACTGCCTTGCACGATATAAAGCGGCCAACAATTTGGAATATGAGCAGTCCTGTTGACATATTCAATTCGCAATTAAATAAGGGAGTCTCGTGGATATGCGAGTGTTTCTTTTGGGTGTGCTGACAATGTGGCGGGTAATCGTTCAACCTTGGCAGAGGTTTGCGCTCTCTGAGTGCTTTCTAATATTAACTTTATATATCCACAGATTCAACTAAAAGCTGTTTCCAAGGGGCATTGCTAAAATAACAAACGGAACAAAAGTAATTGATACTACTAATACTCTGTACACTCATTAGAGGGAATGCTAAATGTACATGAATTTTAACTGCCTCAGATTTAAATGTCTTTTCATTATAAGTGATTTTTTTTACCATTTTTTTTTCAAGTATTATTTCAATTTTCATATATTTGTTGATAAGCATTTTGCTATTAGCATATTACATTTTATTACGTTAGTGAAAATTTATCGTCTCAATTCAAATGAAAACTGTCAGAAAAAAAACAGAAAAAAACAGAAAAAAATAACATTTAGAGGATATTAATATTAATATCAGTACTATATACGTATGCATCATTTTACTTTTTGAGAATAAGGAATTTTATCGTCAGACAAAAGGCTGAGGACAATGATTCATTTTTTTTTTTCAGTTTGTAAATGTTTTTGTGAATGTCTTTCAGAAATAATGTATAAAATGCAAAAACTATTTCTTGAATTGCTGAGTATTTTATGTATAAAATTGGGGTTTTTTTTAATTTTTTTATATTTTACTGAATGCACTGATTCCAGTCAAAGATGGATAAACAGGCACTCGCAAATTAATTACAGAATTGACAGGGATTCAACTGAAATGTTGATGAGAAGGCAAAGAATGGCGAAAGCATTGTGCTAGCTGCTATTGCAACTATTGCGCAAAACATCGTGTACATTGGTTTTATCCATTAACAGGTATGCAACTGGGAATTTAGAAAAAGACGAGGAAATTTCAAACCACAGAAGACTTTGTACAGTATTTTTCAATTTCAGGGGGACGAACCCGTGTTAACCTTGATTACATGGACTTGAGTCTGGCCAATCGCTTCGAAAGAGAGATGGGTTAACACTCCGTTCCTGTTAACACAGGTTCGTCCCCCTTTTAATGGCACTCATGAGAAGTAAAAAAAAAACGAGGAAATCAGCAGATCCGAGGAAAAGTTGCATGCCTGCATTAATCAGTTCGCGCCGGAGGCCATGTATATACACGCAAAAGTTTTGCGGTATTCGGAACGGATGACACATAAACACGCAGGGAGCAAGGCCGGAAATATCTGTTAGCGACCCGCTCGCAGCGAGCAAGGCCAGAAATAATATGAGTGTGCTGCCTGAGGGTGATGGCTTCAACCCGCCTGGTTTGAGGTCGAGTGAAAAGTAATCCCGCGCCTCGTTCCGTTCTTGTCAAAATAATCCCAGCGTGAACTGGTCAAAGGGGGGGGGCCTTGTGAATGTACAGCAATCTGCCGAATTCTTCTATACTTTTGACCATGATGATTCCCTAATTGTAAACTTCTGCCTTTCATATACTCTAAATCTTAAGATATATTATTGAATATCAGTTATGGTGAAATAACTAAGGCCAAAAAAATATACACATGTATATAGTTCTGCTTCCGATAACATGGCATTTGAAAATAGGGTAGGTAGGTCGGGAATTTTTTTTTGGGGGGGGGGGGAATTTTCGGTGTTGTTCATGTAGGTGTCTGCGTGTAGTCAAGGGTAAAAGGAAGTTGGTTTTGGTTTTGTTTCCTCATTTGTCCCCCCAAAAATGAGGGTAGGGGCTGTCCAAATAGGGTAGGTAGGGTAACCGGAAGCAGAACTATTATTTTTTTGGGAGGGGGGGGGCGTAATGTGGCGATAATCTGTGCACTATAAACTCTTTGAGGTCAAATTGTAGATGAAATGCGTGGTGATAATCTGTGCGCTATAAACGCTTCTAAATTTTAGACGGAATGTGACGATAATCTGTGCACTTAAAACTCGTCGAAATTTTAATTGGAATTTCCAATTATTGAATCGAGTATTTCTATTGATTGCCTCACCTGATTTATAATGTAAAAATTGTGCTGAATTATTATGGATAATATTTTTCTAACATATTTATTGTAAACATTGGTGATATGGAAGTTATGAAGAGGTTTAACCTGTGTACTTTTTGTTTATCATGGATGATGAAATTAAAGGACCAAATTACTAACTTGTGTTTGTCGTCATTCTCCCGATATTTTGTTTTTCTTGAGATTTGAGCATTGTTTGTGAATGGCAGTGTTGAAGTCGAGGCACCAACGTCGAGTCCGAGTCTCGAGTCACAAGCCTCGAGTCCGAGTCATGAGCCATTTGTTCTTAGTTGCTCACCAAACTTTAATATCAAATTCATTTTTAAATTATTTTTCAATCATCCATTCTGTCTTTCAAGTAAATCCCAGTGTATATAGTTTACCGTGTGTGTGTACATGTTGTTAAGACCAAAAAAAGTGTTTTCCTTTCAATACCGGACACTTTTTGGCATGACACCAGGCAATACTCGTCGTGCAGGTGCTAGGCCCGAGTGCGCGGCCCCTGAATACGATTTTCCGCAGCGCCGTGTTTTGTCTATGGAGTAAAAAAAGAATGCTACGTTTGTCGCACAAACACGTAACGTTATGTTTTTTCTTTTGATGAAAATACGTGACTCGAGTCACGAGTCACCAAGTTCGAGTCCGAGTCGTCGTGGTCGAGTCCGAGTCCGAGTCATTTTCCAATGTGACTCGAGTCAAGTCCGAGTCACGAAAAATGTGAGTCAGAGTCCTGGACTCGAGTCCTACAACACTCGAGTCGCGAGTCACCAAGCTTGAGTCCGAGTCATCATGGTCGAGTCCGAGTCCGAGTCCGACTCATTTCCCAATGTGACTCAGTCAAGTCTGAGTCACGAAAAATGTGAGTCCGAGTCCTGGACTCGAGTCCTACAACACTGGTGAACGACAAAAGGATAAAATATTAATACTGGTGTTGAAAACAAGCTTTCTGTAGGTTTGTGCTCAAAAAATAGATATGTTATGGTTGGCTGTCAAAATGGTGTAATATAGACCACGTTACATTAATTTTGTTTACAACATTGAATGTGGTGGTCACGTGATTTCTCTTGAAATAGGAATGGTTCAAAAGTATTCATTGATGTATACTATTAATTATGAGCCAAATGACATACAAAAGATGCGTAAATCATGGTCTGGGTTGCACGGCGATCGCCTGTCGGTATGACGTCGCAGGGAACTTGGTCTACAGCTCTATGGTTCAAACCCCAATAGGGATCGCGGTGCATGTACTTGTGTTCTTGGGCAAGACACTTTACTACAATTGCTTTTCATCCAGCACCATAAAAGGGAACCCATGAGGGTATTGAAAACACATTAACCTTCGGATCTCAATAGATGCTATGCATTAATAAAAAGTGATTACCAAAGATAGTATAGATACATGCTCGTAATAAAAAACAATTAAATTTCCCCCACACATGTATTCCATTCTTCTTCACGCATCATTTATTCATTTCATTTCACATTGGTCACAAAACAAATAGGTGTATGTATGCAAATTATCACGAAGCACAAAACCTCACAATTACATACTGGGAAAAGGTTATCTCTTACAATTTTACTTTTATATCACAGATTTTCATAAGTTGCCTATTTCAGAATCTCAATTACAGTAATTTTTTTTTCTTATGTACAAAAAATCTAGTCAAAAACAAAAATTTGCATTTCTTTTGGTACTAGCACCGACCGTGAAGTGCCTGTACACAAATAAATAACTGTAATAAACAACATGAAAATAACCTGACAGAAAGGCTTTCAGTCACAATGCCAACTACGCATTTTTGGTCCGCGGCAAAATCCATATTCTTAAACCTTACGTTACTGAGTAGCAGTGTTGTAGTACTCGTACTCGGTACTCGTACTCGAGTACTACTCGAGTACTAATTTGGAGTACTCGTACTCGAATGTCAAAGTACTCGCACTCGGGCAGCAAAGTACTCGTACTCGAATAGCAGTACTCGGGGGAAAAATTGTATTGCTTGACTATATACACCACGGCCTTATTTTATTGATACTTCAGTTTGAAATGGTTGATTGGCTTGTGGAGAAATCGAATTTTCCTGATTTTCCTCTGTGCACGTCCGGACAAACACATTTAACAGCTAGCCGTGAGTGGGTCTGTATATCGGTCTGACTGGGCCTGGGCCAATTATGCCCAACGAACCATTTGCCGTATGGCCGCCTTCGGAAATACAAGTACTTGTACTCGTACTCGTAAGTACGTACTCGTACTAGTAAGTACAAATACTTGTACTCGGAGACCTGTTCTTGTACTCGGAGGTACAAGTACTCGTACAAGTACTCGTACTCGGCAACCTAAGTACTTGGCAGTACTCGGTACTCGGAAAACAAAGTACACGACTACAACACTGCTGAGTAGACCTGTTGTGCATTAACATAACAAAACACCTCAGATTTGTACAGATTCCGAAAACCATTGAGTTCTGGTTATGTTATTCACCTTCAGGAGAGATGTAGAAAGTCATCATAATCATGTTTACCAGTCTCAAGACAAGTGATTGCCATCATTCTGATACGTGTGACCTTACTTGAAATTTGATTGACGTGTCACTGACTTTACCAAGTTGGGACCGTAGAGCTATATTTTATTACTAGAGCGCTAATTCCTCATTCGTATGTGCGGAGATGCTCTGAAGCCGTCCTGGGAGGCAGACATTTTGAATTTATGTGTGTGTTTGTAGAACATAATGAAATTAGATGGAGTGAATTTCGAAAGTGTACTCTAAATGCAACGCGCAAGAACATATGCAAACAACTTCAGTGCGTCATGACGGTTAAAAAATGTCACAGCAAAAATCATCTGCAGGGGATACGCACACGTGTTTACATTTTTGCGCAGAGCAAAATGAAATGCTCATTTACTGGTTGTGCGTTTCGGTTTTGGGCGTATTGGCTTCGATAACGCAGATATGCAAATAGCCGTACAAAAGCCGTACAAAATTTCAAGTTTTCCATAGGTTTGTGCTCAAACATGGATGCGCCCAGCAGGCATCACTTTGAACATTGAGTCAGCACTCTACATGTATTCATTTAATATAGCTATAGTTGGGACTCAGACTCGGGTATTTTTAAAAGTGCAGTGGTACTTGGTACTTGGTTGGTTCTTCTCCTAAGGACTTCCACAAGGGAGTATAACTAGGAGGCCAGAAACACCGGGGCAAACCCCTTCTCTTAGCGATAAGTGTTACTGGGTTCTTTTACGTGCGTTAGGCCTTATACAACACACGGGACCTCCGGCTTAACATCCCATCCAGACAAAGCAATAATGGTTAAGTGCCTTGCTTAAGGGCACAAGTGTCCGGGCCCGGAGTGTGTCCAAGATTTGTGAGATCTGACATGAAATAGATTCTTGAAAGTCTTTTTTTTGGGGGGAGGGTCCTAGAGGGCAGCCTAGTGTCCTCGTTGCACCTATCTCACTAACAGACTGATTGACTGTCACTTTTGAGCAGTGCTATTGTATAGGATAACCCTGTAACCCCAATGGGCTAAATCCGGCCCATTGTGCACACCAGATGAAAAAAATTCCAGCAGATAGCCCTTCGGAATCAAGCGAAGACATTTTGTGCACTCTGGGACCAATTTTTTAAGGCTTGTCTGGACTTGTTTTTAATCGGAGTTGATACCACTGTTCTAGGTCATGAATGCGTCCGCTAAATGTATAAAGTTACTAAATCAATTATTAAATGAATAAAATCAATTTTCTTACTTAAACATATTTCAACAGTATTTGTACAAGTAATTTTTTTTTACCATTTCCACAGACGTCTACAAAAACTTTCTTAATTCAAATTCAAGTGCAATCAGGCTTATAATTTTCTTGTTATAAATAAATCGTTTTTTTTTCTGAAATAACATAAAAATCAAACAAACAAACAAATGCAAATACGGATTAGAATTTCATTAAATTTTCACCATCCTTGACATATGCAGCATATTTCTCATTATGTATATTTCATTTCAATCAACACAATTTCTGTAGGCAATCATATTGTGTACACCATGTCACCCAGTGATATCTTTACATAGACTGGATAGCACATGCACCAACTGCCATGAAGGTAAAGATCCTACATCCGTTCATCAACTAAAATCAAACTTTTTTTCCCCAAATTTAAATAATTTTTCTAGCGATACTCTCAAAAACACTCAAGTTCGTCTAAAAAACCATAGGTCTTTGCACTTGTAGTTCAACACAAGGAATATGTCTTTATCAGATACAGGTATTTACATATACTAAATACTGCCGTATGGATTAAAAAATATTGACGATTCTGACAATCCGATACAATAAAAGAACAATATACATATATATCAAACTTTACAATGGAAGTTTATAGTTTTAAATTATTGTATTTTGAAACTCATCCTGCCCAACATTTGTCTCACTTTACAGCCTAGATCACCACGGGGAAAGTATCATTTTGACCTGTACCGCCCCGAATCGCCCAGCCTCTTTCTCTGTGCTCCAAAATGCTCCAGCGCTGTATGCATAAATATGTATTCATTGAGAATTAATATAATGTAGTAAATAACAATGTAATGTCATTTCTTATAGATTGAAGACAATTTGTGTTTCTTTTTAATTTTACCAGGAGCAACTGCACATAAAATCTCAGTCTTTGTCTAGTCTTTTACTCGAAATACACTCTTTCTTGGGGGGATTAAACTGTTCCTCAAATACTCTTGTAAGAAGCCTGGAACCAATCAAAGGCAAGCAGAGCAAAATACCTTGCTCAAGGACAACCAACAATTCCCTGCAGTGGAGATCGAACCCAAACCTGTTAAGTTACATGTCATAAGCTCAGTACCTTGCTCACGGACAACCAAGCATTCCCTGAAGTGGGGCTCAACCCACTACCCTCGAAGCACAGTACCTTGCTCAAGGACAAGCAAGCATTCCCTGCAGTGGAGATCGAACCCAAACCCCTTAAGTCACATGTCATAAGCTCAGTACCTTGCTCAAGGACAACAAAGCATGCCCTGCAGTGGGGCTCGAACCCAAACCCTCCAGTCACAAGTCACAAGCACAGTATCTTGCTCAAAGACAATGCATGTCCACCAGTAGGGTTCGAACCCACAACTCTCCAAGCTCAGTACCTTGCTCAAGGACAAGCAAGCATTCCCTGCAGTGGGGCTCGAACCCACAACCCTCAAATCACAAGTCACAAGCACAGTACCTTGCTCATGGACAACGCATGTCCACCAGTAGGGTTCGAACCCACAACCCTCCAAGCACAGTACCTTGCTCATGGACAACGCATGTCCCCCAGTAGGGTTCGAACCCGCACTCTCAAACCACAACTAAACAAGCACTTACGCTTCTTTGCACAACACAAAAATACCCCAAAGAAAGCAATACCCAAGTGGACATCTAATATTTATAAAACCAAATACAAACTTTTTTTAAATATCCCTGGATTTAAGTTTTGCTCTCTTTGGTGGTTTCCATGACAGCCTGCTCCTCTCGTTCCACCGCTTCCTCCAGTTCCTCCAGAATCTCCTCCTTGCAAATCAGGTCCATGATCTCCCCGACCTGCTTGGTGCTGAGAGCAATATCTTCCTTGGCGATCAGCTCAATCACCTAATACCACGAAAAGTAGAAGACAGCAAAAAATATTTAACATGTTAAATTTGTCAAAGGTACACAGGTATCCCCCCACAGAGCTTTCACAGAGCGCCACCCACTGTTCACGGAGTCGATATGCTTTTCAACTGTTTGCTTTAGGATCATTTGAATTTATCCTGAAAAGGACTGACCAAGTTATCAGAAACTTAGATTCAAGATTGTACTGGTACTAAACACCCCGTGGAACGTTTCCGCCTGGCCTGCTGTCATTTAGAAGAAATCAAGAAATATAGATGATTTCCAGCGATCAGTCAATTTGGGCGATTCACAATGCAGTGCGCCACCAAGAGTTTGCCACAGAGAGTTCATTTCTCCCAGTGCATTGTGGGAGATGGTCGACAAATTCACAGTGCGGGACATTTGAAATTGTTAGTTTTCCGGTCAGTAGTTTCGTAAGCGTATGATTTGAGTATCTGTTTGCCTTTTTCTTTTCTTTTTATCAATATGGTGGTTTTTTTAAGGCAGCAGAACGCTGTGCTCCAATCTATAACAAGTTAGCTCGAGTTGTCTACTGACACTCATTCAAATGGGCCATTGTTTTGTCGACCGTAAATTTGGAAATTGGACTCTCCATGGCAAACCCTTGGTGGCGCACTGCATTGTGAATCACCCGAATTGACTGACTTTTGGAGATAAAGAGTTATACAGACAAAATCGTGTTTCGTGATCATAATGTTGTGCATGGTTTTCCACAGTTTTCTCGAAAGGTGTAGTATCCACGGAGATGAAATTTCAGCAGGTTAGCTTTTCGACGTTCTTCTTTGAGTTTTGAGCGGTGCTATTGTTGGCAACGAACAAAATACATGAAAAGCAAATGATCCTATATATGCCTTTAAAGCACGCAGTTTGAAGATGACTACTATCATTGGCAATCCTTTGACCGTACCTTCATAGCATCTTGTATATTGATGACGCCGTCTTTGTCTTCGTCCAGCACCTCGCAGATGCGTTGCAACTTCATCTCGTCCGACACTTTGCCGAACTTCTGCATGGCGTTCACCAGCTCCTCAACCCTTAAGATGCTCTTTCTGAAAGCAGAAAAAAAACAAATCAACTTCTAAATTATTATCGTTTGTTCCATAAAAGGTTACTGTACTACTTGTACAGCACTTTTGAGATGTTTTCAGCGGAAGACTTTTACTGAAAAACAAACATCATAATAATTTTGATTACTTCTTGATATCCATCTGGCTTTCCATCTTGTCGGACATCTCCTGGCTCGGTTCCAGTTCCTCCTTCATCCTCAGCTTCCAGTCCTCCGCCAGCTCCTTCTTCTCCTTGACCAGGGTCTCTTTCTCAGTCGCCAGCTCATCGACGATCTTCTCCAAGCGGGACACCATGCGGTTGACGCGCTTGCCCAGCCGGGCCGAGGACTTGGCCTCCACCAGCTTGGGCACGTCCGCCTCGTCCGCTTCCACCACCTTCTTCAGGTCTTCCAGATCCTGGGATAAAAATCAATCGTCAATCAATCAATCAATCGTCCAAGCTTCTTCACCTTTAACCCCATCCCTGCCAGACCCAGCACAGTGAAGCAGGCTTTAAAATCTGGGGGACCTTGTTACATTGCGCTATCAATACTGATTCTGAAACAATGATAGCTATTTCCCATTGAACAATGCCACCGTTGTAGTCCTGCTGAAGTAACCACAGACTCTGAGGCATTTTGGTGACCTTATCAGTCCTTCTGTTTTGAGGCGTGCGATCACACCCCCACGCCGTCACACACCTAAATGCTTCCTGAGAAGTGCGAATAATCGCACGTTTGAATCCCTCAGTACCGCACACCTGGGCATACATTTACGGCATAATTACACCCCATAATTTGTGAAAAATAAAATATGTCGGTGAAGAGGAAACTGCTTTATTGTAAACCAAGATGAATATTATCCAACAAAATACCAGATTGTTCAGTCCCAGCTTGGACCACAGAATCACACACCTAGAAAAATCACACGCCTAGAAAAATCACACGCCTAGAAAAATCACACGCCTAGAAAAATCACACGCCTAGAAAAATCACACACCTAGAAAAATCACACACCTAGAAAAATCACACGCCTAGAAAAATCACACGCCTAGAAAAATCACACGCCTAGAAAAATCCAGGTGTGCGTTTTTCCACACACCTGTGATTTTCAAATCAGAAGGACTGCCTTATGGATCTTGCTAAGCTGAGCAGGCTTGTCTCTCAAAAAGGCGGCGTCGCATTGTGTACTCCCCAGGGAGTTGAGATGGTCTTTGGAATGTTTTATTGGCCAAATGATCAGGGGTGATAATGACCTGATCCTTGAAAGAAACCTTGAATTTCAATTTTATATAAATACGCATAACTATTACGATTATTACCTCTCGATATTCCTCCACGTCTTGCCTGAGCTCCTGCAGTTCTCCTTTCTCAGACAACATGCTCTCCTTCTCCTCTGCAATCTCCTTGATGACCTCTCCGAGATCTTGCAGGTCTTCCTTGGTCATCAGTTCGTCATCCGCCTTTATGATGCAATGGGATGGTGAGAAAAAATTTCCAAGCTTTTTTCAAGAGGAATTCAAAAGTTTTTGCCAAACACTTTTCAAGATGTTATGCCTGCGATCTTCAACAGACTTGCTTTTTTTCTCTCAAAAGAGTTTGGAAATGTTTGAGTTTAACCTCGAAAAAAAATATTTGTATTCTATTTTGGCATCTGCACCCCTCTGAACACGAACTCTTATCTTGGATTGCTTTTGTGCACAAAAAGATTCACCCTACGAGTAGTCTGGCTCCCGGACCCTACCTTATCAACACTGATAGGTGCGGGAGCCAGTCTACCAGATTTGTACAGTTATTATTCCATAACTAAGCATTGGTCACTAGGAAGTGGACAAGTTTTGCTAGAAATCGATCAGTCCTTTCTGTCAATTATGTAAACAAGCGGCTACAACTAAACAAAACACAATGTTCAAAGACAATGTTGATAAACAAAACATTAAATGTGAGTGCAATGCAACTGCACGCAAAGCAAGACAATAGCCAACACAACTAACGCAGGGAAAGAAACTTGTTACACAAACTCTTCAAAGCAAAAGCAACCTGACCAAAATAAATTACGTGAAAATACACACAGTATTAAGAAACACATGAAAAGCCACCAGAATGCGCAACAGCCAGACTGACAAAAGCAATAGCTAAAACTTGCAGGTCAAATCACGAACATTTTGTGAAAATGTACTCGAGTGAAAATGTATTATAAGATGGAATTTTTGGCGTCGGGGTAATGTAAATCAAATTAGGTTTTTTGCCCTTCACCGACGTTTAAACACTGTATACTCAGTGTGTTACCTCCCGAGTTAAAGTTAGAAAACCTATTCCAGCCTATTCCAAAGATTGCCATTAAAAAAAATGCACCAACTCCAGTTCTGTTGAGAAGGGTGTAAATATGCTCCCCCCCCCCCCAAAAAAAAAAAAAACTGACTTCACTAATGTAGCAAAAATGCCATCAAATCTCAGGTTTCGACATAACCCCACAGATGTAAGGTGTTTTTTTTAATGAAAATACAGCAAGCAGCAAACAGTGGCATAAATAAAAATACCAACTAAAAAGAAAAAAAAGCATCTGAAAGCTTAGGTCACTTGGAATGATCCGCCTGAATATAAAGCAAGCTTTTTTGAGCAGATGAAAATGCAAACTGGTCATGTGACACCATACCTTATCCGTTTCAGTAGTTTCTTCGATCTACGTTATAAAAACAAAAGGCAGTTTTCAACTATGAGCGGTGTGTACATGGAGGCTTTAACATGGATGTTTATGGCAATTCTTTATTTTTTTGGGGGGGGGAATGGCAATTTTTTTTTTTTTTTTTTCTTAACATTTTTGGATATTTGCCAATGAAACAAAACTCAGCTTGGAAGCATAATAAATCAAATGGTATTTTGGCTGATGACGTGTGATTTTCCCGATGCAAACTTTCTATGCTTGCAATTGCGAAAGTAGCACGTTACCATTTTCCTCGAATGCATCCACGAATAGAGAAAGAGCATAAAAGGAAATTTTTTTTGCATTTTTTTCAACAAAATAATACCTAAAATACATTTGGGGAACAAAAGCCGTGAATGTCATATTGAGCTGATTGAATGTGATTGTCAAAAGCCAGCACGAGGCCTAAGGTATCTGGACAGTGCTAAAAATGTACTTTTAAAAGCCAAGATGTTTCTGGAATTTTTGGGAATGCCACCCTTACCCGTTGCGGCTCTCTCAGGACCATGATGACGTGCTGGGCCTGTATTTTGGCATCGTCCACTAACTCTTCGGATGCCATTGCCTCTGTAACCTGCAGAGTAAATTAGTGATGTCAAATTGAAAATGTTTCATCTTGCGTTGCTATCAAAGTTCTTTGGCATGGAATGATTGTTATCATTTTTCATTCAGCCTGGATGGGATGCGCTTGCCAGAGATTCCGAATGTGCACCAAGCCATAGGGTCTTCGCGCGAGCGTCAAGCGCCGACGTTCGACTGTATTTCTCAGTGGTCTCACCCAACTCTCCCTTTCTTACCGTTGAGGGGGTACTTGTGCACGAAGCCCATAATATTTAAAGGTTGGGTTGATCATTTGTCTTTCTTTTTTTTTTTTTCTTTTTTTTTTTGCAACAAAAGTGCTCAAAATTTTAAGAAGGGTGCTTAACAACTAGCCTGATGAAGTTTTAGCTCAGTGAATGCTGGCTATTCCAAGAAAATAAATATTATACGATTTCGACTTCAATTCAAAAGTTGCCGAGTCGTGTTGTGAATTGCGCCCGAAATCAGCATCCGGGACACGTTCTCATTCAGCCGATTGCAGCTACGCGATGTCGCGCACTGACCCGACAAATTATAGCAACCGCGCACCCGTGTGCGTCTTGCCAACGCTTGCGCACACCCATTCTCTGATTCGCTGAACTACAAACCAGCTACTAACGGAAATTTCCAAAAACGCATCACTTGACACATTTTTGGAAATGGCCTTCTTTTATTGTTTTTTTTTCTTCAAAATGACAGCATGCCAGAAAGAATGTTTTCACAGGAAGTTTATTGCCATTACTATCTTTAAACCAAATAAGCTTTTCAACAATAATTTTGTCAGTTACTCTTTGGATATCTGCAAACGATATACTCTAACTTTAAAGATTATGATATTAATATTTCACCTTTTTCTTCTCTTGTTCCTGTTGCTCCGCCCTTTCCATCATCTCCTTCTTAATCTCTTCCTCCTCCTTGCGGATGATGTTCAGCCGGTCCGTGTTGTCCACCTTCTCACCTACCAACTCAGCCAAGTTCACCTTTGCCTCCTCTGCCTATGAGTGACAATCACATCAAAAAATCCAGTTAAAGTACTAAAAAATGAAAACTGTCCCTGTAAAAGACCAGCTGGGAGTGTTGAAGATGAGTCTTTTTTTTGCTGAGTCGAATAAGAAGATGGGAATGCAAGCTGGACGATTAGAAATTGCATCACGGAAACTAGACAGAGCAGTTCGAGTATTTGGGCTTTATAATGCAAGTAGAATTCTGAACACGAACAAAAATGTAACAAGCTTAATCGGATCTTGGAAGCTGCGGGCCGACGAATTCGTGTTCATGCATGAGTCACGTGATTGTGCCATGTAATTTCTGGAAGGAGTAGTGTTTTGAGTCAAACCAAATCAGGTTTTGACCCCAGTGACCCCATGATGACCTTTGACCCCAGTTAGGTCATGTGACATGTTGGGGTTGGGCTACTGATACTTTGGACAAAGTTTGGTTGAAGTCGGTCAAAATATGGAGCAATAGACAATGTCAACGTTTGTTACTAACTAATGGACTAACGGAGAGACATGATGAATTGTTGAACTGCTATCCCGCAGCTAAAAAAATAAAAGTCTGTCAAGAGCCAATGTGGCCCATCAGGCCGGTGTTTATCTCCGGTTTCCATGGCATGAAACGACTGAGAATATTTCTATTTCCCCTTGGATGGGATGCCAGTCCATCGCAGGTTACTCGACAGCTAATGCCGGTACCCATTTATACTCCTGGGTGGAGAGAGGCAAGTGGGGGTGAAGTGGCTTGCCCAAGGACACAACATATGGCCAGTAGCTAAATTCGAACCAGTGACCCTCTGATCATGAGTCATGAACCCTAACCACTAGGCCAAACTCCACCTATGGACAAAAAGGTATGCTGAACTTCTGGAATACGTCATGTGAACAGAGCTTAAAGGGAATGTACATCATTGGCTTTTGCTTTAATTTTCAGAAATGAACTATTTGAGGGGTTAGTATAATATATCAAATTATTGTTACCCTGACATGTTTGAAGTTTTGTGTTGGAAAATGCTGGAAAAACTAAGAAAAACAAAAAATGTTCGAGTAGTCTGGTTCCCTGACTCCACTGAAGATTAAATGGATTAATTTATAGATGCCGGAAAATTGTACGATAAGGGAACCAGTCTAACTGGCCTGCACCCATTCAGAACATGCAACCAATAGCAAACAAAATTTTGACTGAAAAAAAAATGGTACATTTGGAGCAGTAGTTGAAAAATTGTTAGGTTTTTCCAACGGTGGTCGGCCGACCACCGTTGGAAATGTATACAAAATTACCATTTTCTTGAAAGTGACTTCACACCAGGTGCCATAATTTTACAGGATGCTTTAGACTGTCATTTACCAACATCCTGTTGTGTATTTCGTAAAAACTTGGTAGTTTTATTTTTCGATGTTTGCAAATGTTGTATTTTCCCTTTAACCAAAATATTTCACAATCTTATACCATGGTATAACAGTCTTATATGTACTTACTGTTGCCTCTGGTAGGGATGCTATAGTAGCCTTGAGCTGGTCTGGAGTGGAGAGCGTTTCGGGCAGGTAGAGCGTCCGCGACAGAAGAAGCAGAGACGTCGGGATTTGCTCGTTGATATGAAGATCCAACCACTAGAAGAAAATCGTGGCCAGCAAATCGGTATGTTTTGAATTTGTATTGAGAGTTAATGGGCTTTATTCACGAGTCAGCCATATTAAATTATAATCGAGGTAACATGTTCATTTTTGGAACTTACGGAGAGAAGTGAAAGCAATGACATTAAGTTAATTACAAATTAATACCAGTCTGCTCTGACGAATAATTTAAATTTGTGACAAAACATACCCTAGTGTTTTAAGCCACATTTTAAAAAGAAATGCAGGCGAGGCTAGAATTAAAATAGTCTGGCACCATCTCATTCAACAGTTCACATTTAATGAAATACATTCAGGGAACATGACAAAGATGGCTTCTTCGTGAATCAGGTCCATAACCTAAGAGAGAATATATTCCATCTCTGGTTCTGAATTAAGGACATTGGCCGCGTTGTAATCCGGTAAAAACTTTAATAAATTTGCAAAAATTTACATCTCTGCACAGTTTTCTGCCCACGTACTGTAGTATAAGTTTTTAATACTGTTCACAACGCTTTCCATGTCTGTTTTCTATTACATTGCTTTTAAATCGGCTCTTAGGGAAGACTGAAAGTGTCAATAAACACAGTTGCCAATGGGCGGCGCGTGACTCCATACCTGTTGCAGTTGTGACTTTAGTCTCTCGACGGGTACGCCCAACGCCCTCATGCCCCGGGCCTGACACGCCCCCTGCAGCTCGGCCACGGTCAGGCTGTCCACACCCTCCTTCTGAATCATCTGAAAATAAAAGTCAGGAAACCAAAAAAAAAATTGAAATTGACTTGAGTAAAGAAGCTAGTCCAACTTTGAAATGAGGGAATAAGGCAAACAAATTGTCAGTTTTGACGTTCGGAGACTTGCGCGATCCCCCTGGCATGTTGGCAGTATTTATACAGTCAGTTAATAGTAAGCGCACTTTTCAGTGTACCTAACCAAAAAGTAACCAATCAATAATGACCTAATTTGACCCCTAGATGACCTTTGACCTCAAATGTCTTAGGTCGTCTGAAGTCCCCCTACCCAAAGATTATTGTCACAAAGTTTGGTTGAGATTGAAGTCTGACTTTTCATATGACAGCACTTTTCAGTTTATCAATATTACGTTTTGCCCTTCACCGACGTATAACCTCTGTATACTCAGTGTGTTACCTCCCGAGTGAAAGTTGGAAAAAAAATCACTCGGGTGGGACTCGAACCCACGACCTCCTGCTATCCATCTTATGAATACTTTTTCAGTTTGCCAAACCAAAATCAACAATGACCTCAGTTGACCCCTAGATGGCCTTTGACCTCAAGTGTCTTGAGGAGTGGAGTGTCATGGCCTAGCAGTTAAGAGCACGGGCGCATGGTGTTTCAGAGGCAACAGTGGCGTGGGTTCGAGTCCGGGCCCGGACACTTGTGCCCTTAAGCAAGGCACTTAACCATTATTGCTTCATCCTTCGGATGGGACGTTAAGCCGGAGGTCCCGTGTGTTGTATAAGGCCTCATGCACGTAAAAGAACCCAGTAACACATATCGCTAAGAGAAGGGGTTTGCCCCGGTGTTTCTGGCCTCCTAGTTAAACTCCCTTGTGGAGGTCCTTAGAAGAAGAACCAACCAAGTACCAAGTCTCAAGTCATCTGAGGTCCCCTTACCCAAAGATTATTGTCACCAGAAGATGAGCAATATGCTCGGTCCATCTTCCCATGATCTCAGTCTAAAAAAAAAGGCCGGCGCTTGACGTCAACAAAAGAAACCTTACCTTATCGTCGGCCATAAGGGACCGGAGCTGCATACGCAGCTGGAAGCGCAAGAAGTTATTGGTGCCGACGGGCTGCAGCCTGAGCAGACGGCACAGGGCCGTCAACTGCTCCCGGTTCAGGTTGTCCAACGTCAGCTCGTCCTCAAACAGCTTGGAGAACTTGATGATCTCCTCGTTGCTAGCCTGCTCCCCGCTTGTGCGTATCTGGTTTCACAGAAAAAGGTATGGTACATTTATTGGGTATAGACTGTATAGTGACTCTTTAGACTTTTGTGAGTGTTATTTCCTTTTTCACATCCAAAGTGGGCCAGGAAGACGACTAATGATTTATTCAGCTGCGGAAAGCAGCTAAAGAATTCATCATGTCTCTCTGTTAGTTGGTTAGTAACAAATGCCAGCACATGCCTTTTTTGGCAATCAATCACCTTGTCCCTTAGGACCTCGCAACAAGACGTGCTTCGGGTCCCCACTGTCCAGCTACCAATTTATTGCGCATTGGTGCCAGCACTGTACTGCACACAAGTTGGGTGTTCCTCATGCTATAAAACGCTCCATACACCAACTGACATTCAACAAAATAATAGGAATCCTTTTCAATTGACGGTCACAACCATGTGAGTAGTTGTGCATTATAAGAACAGACTTTCACATCATGTTCATGACTTATAGGCTACAGCAGATCTACAGTTGGGCTGCAGCTTCAGAGATCATTTCAAGCTTGTTCTTTTTAGGCCCGAGCTTTAGATGAAAGACATACAAATAAATCAAGAAACACGGTAATTTGGTGGACGTGGGGTGGGGATGGGTAGCAGTTAGAGTTCCTTATGGGTTAGGGGAGGGGCAGGGTAAGAGTTGTGAGGGGCGATGTAAGGTTGGGTCCGTACCTTCTCTATGAAGTGCGCAAACTGCCTGGCCCTTTCAGTGGCTTTGGTCTTCTTGCTGTGCAGTGCTGTGTCTTCTATCGTGTCCTGCAAGAACTTGGCCATCTCCAGCTTGACCTTCAGCTCTTGCTTCAACTTCTTCTCCTGAGCAGCAAGAAATGAAAACAATCCTCAACGATGCTTCTCTACTCAATAGGCCTTATTCTTGACCACACGAGGGCGCCATAGCAGCACCATATAATCAGACCAGAAATCCAAAGTTACGGACGTTAAGTCTACATAATTATAAAGTGATGCTTCAAAATTATTACCCCAGCTCATCAGGCCATGAGACCATTTTTTTTCTGCAGCAGCTCGAGATCAGCGCAATCTGGTCTCTACCTTCACAGGTACATACTTTTATACTCCCGGGTGGAGAGAGGCAATTGTAGTAAAGTGTCCCGCCCAAGAACACAAGAACCACGTTCCCCGTCAGGGTTCGAAACCCACATACCACGGGTCAAACACCGTAACCACTGGACCACTGCGCTCCACGTGCTGCTACAACTCAAACTTTACTTTATTTCAATCTTCACTGTTATTTTTGACGAACGGAATCCTAGGGAGAGAGAGGTCGAGGGAGTGATTCCCTGTTTGCAGGGGACGTATTAAGCCGTGAACCCTAAACCTAAATTGCTACTCCCAGTAGCTACTTCTACTCGCGCCAGGACGAGTACTCGAGTAGGTGGAAAACCACGAGTAAAACAACGAGTAGCATAAACTTCTCGCGAGTACTTGAGTAATCGAGTTACTTGCCCAGCGGTACCATCTATTGTCAATTACCTTGTCGGATCGGGATTGGAACGTGCTGGGCAGCATGTTGGGGAACAGCCACAGGGCGACAGGCAGCAGAAACTCCATAAATGGGATGATGATAAAGACGGAGAACGGTACGATGCGGAACATATCCGAGGCCGTTCGGGTAAACTGAGCAAAAAAGAGAAGAAAACTTTTCAATTAACAAAAATACATTTATTGTTGCAACGGGGTTGGTTATCTGAGGCACCGGAAAGCAACTTTTCAAAACCAGCCAATTGCTGGGATAAAAATATTTTACCATGGTTGTCACAGAACTGTTCTGCCTGGTACACCTGAACTATATATTTGAAAATTGATGTTAAGGAATTCGATCTTGGCCACACAAGGGGGTAGTTTAATACTTGAAAGTGGAGAGACCGTTTGATCAGAGTTCAATAATGTACTTTAACCCTAACCCCCTAGCATGATTTACTAGGAGCCATACCCATCCTGGAAAATTCCTACACCATGGGAAACTGCACACACATATTTCTGACTTTGATTCTGGAGGTGTGCCAACCCAATGTAAAAGACTGTCAGTTTAAGGGTACTGTACCCATCCTGACTGATTTCAACAAAACACGCTGTTGGGGTTTGATGGGTTGAGTTCTGTTTTAACCCTAACCGCAGGATTCAGGCAGTGGTCACCCCTCCACGGACCATATTCAAGAAATAATGGTGGAATTTGCAGGATTGAGGCTATATGCTTTTTTTCCATGAGGCCAATTGGAGGATTTTGCAGGATTGAGGCTATATCCTAGCAAAAAGGCCTAGGGAGTTAGGGTTAATAATGGATACCTATATAGCATGTTTAACTATCTAAGCGCTTTACGTTATTATTACCTCTGATCATCAGGCCAATGAAAGATTTCAAATACAATCTCAGCTCCCTGGGGAGTATACAGCTCGATGCTGCCATTTTGGCGCAACGCAGCTAAAATCTATCACAGTAACCATCTCTGCCCTCACAGGTACAAATTTACTCCTGGTTGGGGAGAAGCAATGAGTGAAAAAGTGTCTTGGCCTAAGCACACACGCATTACAACCCCAGGCTGGACTCGAACCCACAACTTGCAGGATGACCCGCAGATAATGAGTTCAATGCTCCAGAACACTCCGTTATGAACCTAAATCTTCACCAACATACCTGCTTGTATTCCCGTCTGGTTAACGTGTGCCCATTCAAAACTCTCCACAGCAGCCGGGCCGATATCTTAAAGTCCACGCCCAGCAGACGGAAGCCGTTCCAGTAATGCTTCACCTCGTCCCAGATTCTCGTCATGAGGGGTTTCTTGGGGAGGACCACCTCCTGGGTAGTGGGCGGAGGCTCCGCCCTCTGAGCGGAGGGCGTCGTGGCCCCGACCACCTCGGCGATTTGCTTCTCTTTCCTCTTCTCCTTCAGGACTTTGACGGCCTTCTCGACTTTTGTGTCCGTCTCGTCCAGTTCTTTCCAAGAGGGTCGCGATATGTGGAACCCTCGGTCGTGCTGGAAGTACCCGTGCGTCCTGTTGCTTGCATGTAGAACGGCCGTGCTGTGCCAGAGGTGGAGGGGTCGTAGGAGGGGCGCCGTCCTCTGTGGCTGGTACTCGTGTAAACAGCACATGCTGGTCTGCGGCGGTCGTATTGGTCGCCGTAATGCCACCCACTCCGGGTCGATCGGTGGAGCTCTGTGATATATTCTAAAATCAAATTTCATCAAGTAAACTGCGTTGAGCCATTGAGTTTCTCAAAAAGCCGTGGCTTGTGGTAGACATTTTTTTTTAATGGGGATCAAAGGAAGGTACCATCTGATATTATTTGCAAGAGAGGGGAGCCTTTTTTATCAAGTTCTGTTTCTTAAGATTTGTTTTCTTGACGGAAGGGGTGACCATTCCTGAGGAGAATTTTTCAAATTTATTGCATATTTGGGGGGTGTCTACAAAACGGATTCCAAAATCCCTTTAGTCGGGCAACTGATTGTGTAAAACTGTAGCTTCAACTGAAAATGTAACCCTAACCCCCTAGGCCCTTTTGGCTAGGAATCATCCTCAATCCTGCAAAAGCCTCCAATTGCCACCATGTAAAAGTTGGATTCAGCCTCAATCCTCAAAAATCATCCGTTATTTCTTGAATTTGTTCAGTGGAGGGGTGACCGTTGCCTCAATCCTTAAAAATCCCCCAACAATCAAAGTAAATGGGTTGAGGCAGTGCTGACGACATTCAGAAGCAGTGCGGATGATATTGAGCATAATGCAGGGCTCAATTATGCATGGCTGAACATAAACAATGCTGGGTACAGCCAAGACTGGGACTGTGGCGCTCTGAAACGTGCAAAACTAAATCAGGACAACTTCACTCACTCTTTAGCCAGCGAATTTCTCCAATAATTGGGCAAAGGAAAGGTCCTCAGTATTTCACCAACCAAGTTTGCAGACTTAATTCAATTTTTAAAAGAAACTTTTCTTCAATATTTTGCACACGAGAGGGAAATCAAGTGATTTCTAAATGAGGCTAAAGGCTAGACTGGTACATGTCCAACCATGGTCCAACTATTTGAAAAGACTGACCTCTTCATTCAGTGTCATTAGTCTGGTGGCTGACTATGGAGAAATGGGTAGTAAATAGAGACTAGTTCCCAGTTCAAGCCACAAGTTTCTTTTGACACATTTGATTGATGCAGGACTGAAGCGGAGTTGGACTAGTTGTTTCAGGTGCCAGTCTATTTTCTTGTATTGCATGTTTTCAATACCTTGAGTTTTGGGACTCTCATGCACAGTAATGAGAGTCCCCAATTTTCGGACAAGGTACAGCCTACGAACTTGACTCAATGCATCTGCCAAAATCAACCAACACCAATTTTTTTTTTTTTGGCCATTCAACCCCAATCCTCCAAAATCCTCAAAAACCGCCTGGAGGATTTTGGAGGATTTTGGAGGATTTTGGAGGATTGACGAGTATTAAGTAGACATTTGTAGTTTGGTGGTTAATACTTACCTGTATTGTTCATGGTTTGTTACAGTTGGTGACAATGTAGCAGCCGGAATCCAAGGTCTATTCCAAGCTAGAAACAAAATACACACAAAACCAGCCACATGCACATCAAAATTATTTTTAAAAAAGTGAGAAAATAGTACAGTTTTCATAGTTATTATAATTGCAACTTTTCTGTTGAACTTCAGAAAGCTGGTTGTTTATGACACAATAGGCATATCAGAAATCAGACAAAATTGGGTAAATTTTGATTAAACACAAAGTTTGCTGGTTTGGTTCATTACATTATCAATGATCAATCTTGAACAACTGTTAAATGGACCAATAGGGAATATCCTCTTTTTTTTCAGAAATATCTCAAACAAAAAGCGAAATTATGAAAATAGGTTAAGGCCAGCAATTTTCATGTGTAATAAAAATTGTAAAATCCCAATATGATAAACGAAAAATTAAATTAGCGAATGCTGAGTGAACCTGTGGATGTCACGCTCGAACACATCTCATTAACTTACATAACAAGCAAAATTATGTGTAGGCCCTTTTAATTTTATAGTACTTTTTTTTTAATATTTTGTATATTATCTTTGATTTGTTTTTCCTTGGATGAACTGTAAAAATATTGGAGCAACTATAGAATGCAGGGCCACGCCGAAGCAAGGTTTTTTATTTTGCCTGGAGGCGTGGATGGAATAAGAGTAATAGATATGCAAACCTGCAAAAAAGTGCTAAGTACAGCGAAGGAATGCACTGCACTTGTCTTCAAAGCTTCTCATGAAGGATCGGAAGGGAGGACGTGCTTGTAAATGTGTTGGGGGCACTGTCTGGAGCGGCGGAGGCGCGGAGTCTTGGAGTCGCAGAATCGCGGAGACGCGGGGCACTGAAGTGGCCGCAGTGGCGGAGTCGCGGAGTCGCAGAGACGCCTACCGATAGAGGGCGCAATTCTCGGCGGAATCTTTTTGAGAACGAAGCATCCATATCCATTTTAAATGGGCGGGCCAATTAGGAAGGGAGGAGGGCGACGGGGCACTGTCTGGAGTCGCGGAGGCGCGGAGTCGGGGAGTCGCAGAGTCACTTTAATTGGGCGGGCCAATTAGGAAGGGGGGGGGGAGGGCGACGGGGCACTGTCTGGAGTCGCGGAGGCGCGGAGTCGGGGAGTCGCAGAGTCACTTTAATTGGGCGGGCCAATTAGGAAGGGGGGGGAGGGCGACGGGGCACTGTCTGGAGTCGCGGAGGCGCGGAGTCGGGGAGTCGCAGAGTCACTTTAATTGGGCGGGCCAATTAGGAAGGGGGGGGGAGGGCGACGGGGCACTGTCTGGAGTCGCGGAGGCGCGGAGTCGGGGAGTCGCAGAGTCACTTTAATTGGGCGGGCCAATTAGGAAGGGGGGGGAGGGCGACGGGGCACTGTCTGGAGTCGCGGAGTTGGGGAGTCGCAGAGTCACTTTAATTGGGCGGGCCAATTAGGAAGGGGGGGAGGGCGACGGGGCACTGTCTGGAGTCGCGGAGGCGCGGAGTCGGGGAGTCGCAGAGTCACTTTAATTGGGCGGGCCAATTAGGAAGGGGGGGGAGGGCGACGGGGCACTGTCTGGAGTCGCGGAGGCGCGGAGTCGCGGAGTCGCAGAGTCACTTTAATTGGGCGGGCCAATTAGGAAGGGGGGGAGGGCGACGGGGCACTGTCTGGAGTCGCGGAGGCGCGGAGTCGGGGAGTCGCAGAGTCACTTTAATTGGGCGGGCCAATTAGGAAGGGGGGGGGGAGGGCGACGGGGTACTGTCTGGAGTCGCGGAGGCGCGGAGTCGCGGAGTCGCAGAGTCGCTTTAATTGGGCGGGCCAATTAGGAAGGGGGGGGGGAGGGCGACGGGGCACTGTCTCTCAGTGGTGGAGGCGCGGAGTCGCGGAGTCGCAGAGACGCGCACCGATAGAGGGCGCAATTCTCTGCGGCTCCACGACTCCACGATCGATTTTCAGAGGTAGGTCGACTGCGGTTCCACGCCTCCACGCAGCCGTACGGAGGCGCGGATGTAGAGTAAAGTGGCCCTGCATTCTATAGTTGTACCAAAATATTAAATAGATTAAAGCTCAAAGTTTCAGTTTATAAAAAAAATCAAAATAATATCACTAAAAAAAGTAAAAGTTTTAAGTTAATGGGAAATCATTATAGTTCATAAAAATTACTGCTAGAGTTTTTCATGAAATGGGATCCCTGTAATGTATCTATTCTATCCCCCCCCCCCCCCAAGGTCCCCCCCCCCCCCGCCCCACTGACTGGCGTTATGTATAAAGGTCATCATCAGGTCAAATGCCCAATGGCCGATGATTTCTGCACAATCATACCATGATCATACTCACATTCCACAACACTCATAATTACAGTGTTTACTCACCCTTAAATCTTGGAATTGAAAGAATATTCTCGCCATGCTGCTGACAGCCGTATCTTATCGGCATACATTTACAAAATCGCGACATATTTATTAAAGAAATGTCTGTTAAAATATGGACTGGACGAACACCAGATCACCGATCATGTCGTACTTGCAGTGTGTGCATGCAAGATCACGGTCAGGGGTGAAACGTTCAGGGTCAAACGTGATTACCATCTCACGTGTCTAGTATCGGCTAATTTCTTTGTGCTCTAATTGGATAAAATCCATGAGCGCGTCACGCTTCTGCGTGCACAATGAACGTAAATACTTACCCACAGTGCTTTGTATTACTTTCGCAACATTTGTGAAAATTATATTAGCCGTTACCGTACGTGTCTACGCCTTGGGCTCGCTGCGTAAAACATTAAAGAAACTTGCCTACTACTAACAGTAACAAAAGCAGTTTTAGCAACTTTTGCAACCTTGTTGTCAACAAGATTTCTTATCATTTTTTGTCCATTTTTTTAAATGTTTTTTACGTACTTGAATATAATATAAAAGGTTACAAAATGAAATTATATTTTATATATTTGACCAGCCCGAGGTCATCACAAACAAACAAGATGGCGGGAGTGAGAAGAAAAGACGTGGGTGAACCGTGGACCAGTCAGTCGCAGGTTGAGCGCGAGCAGTATCAGACAAGGAGGTCCGAGGGTGGAGACCAGCTATCCGGGTCTTTTCAGGAACCGGTTGATACTACATTGGGCTACATATGGAAGGCACGAACTAAGCACTCTTTTGCCAAAAATGTTGCAACCTGCAGTGCTGACATGGCTGACGCCACTTCCAAGTTCCATGTGATTTCACTCGCGGTTGTGTACAAACTAGTACAAAGTCAATGGAGAGTCAAGAAAATTATTTCCTAAAATTGGAAATGTTTCTCAGTCCCAGATTCACGTCTTATAATCATTTTTGCAATGATTGACCTTCATTGAGATGATATATGATTGTGAAGGAAAAAAGTGGCGTCAGGTTGCAACATTTTTTGGAGCCTCATCATGCTCATAGTTCTAGGAGTACATACCGTCTTCTTGCTGGAAATTGTGATTGCGCAATTGCTCAGGGGGGGGGGGGGGGGGCTCACGTGACCCAGACTGAACATCCGTAACATAAAAGGCATGGGAAGGTCAAATTGTTCTGAAAAATCGCTCTTTTTTTCAGTGAAAAGAACACAATTTTGGATACAGAGTTTTAAAAATTGATAAATGGGGCATTGAGCTGTCCATGGGTGCTAGCTCTACCGAGAGGAGCGCTGGGACTACTATGGTATTAGCGCTCCTCCGAATAGACACACTAATTCTACACATTTATAAAACTGACATACAGTATGCAGTATTTTTGCATACCCTGGAGGAAATAAAGGCCAAAAAAACTGGTAAAGAGAATACAAATGATAAAGAAAGTTGCTCTGGATAGATCTACACATTCACGACATTTCCTGAGACCACTTAAACTGTTGGCAACAACCGGTAATTTAAAAAAAAAAAATCCAAAATATTCTGAAAAACCTACCGCTTACACGTACATCCGCTGAGCCATCAACCATCAAATTTTGGGCTGATCGTTGAGCGCGTGTGTGACGTCACTACCAAAGAGAAACAAGTCGCGCTGAATCAACGACTGTTTCATGTAGTGATATGTGTCCCGTGCCGTATGACAGTATGGGCTTTTGGCGCATGGCGCATTACACGAAACAGTCGTTGATTAAGCGTGACTTGTTTTTCTTCGATAGTGAGATTGTAAGTAACAGAAATTTGAAGCCTAATGTTATACTCTGTTATATTTTTTTTTCCAGTATTCACAGAGGCAAAGTCAGGGATTTAACCCCGACAGAATGAACGAAGCCGTGGATAAGAAACGGACAGTCCGTCAAGGCCAGAGGTAATGTCACTTCCCTTCCCTCACAACAAGTGTGACCATTTCGGTGTGCTTGCATGAAGAATGTATCGACATTAAAAAGAAGAACTTCCAAGCATACCTCATCCACTACATATACATGTTGTAATATGGCCTATAAACAAAGAAAACAGACAAACATCTCCATTAATATTTTCAGAGGAAAAAAAATGGACCTGTTTTTCATATTCAAAACACAAAATCTTACAGTAAAAGTAATGTTTCACTCTTGCGGCCTCCAATGATTAAAATCTCAATTGTATTTGAATGGTTGCGTGTAATCTGTAATTCTCACTTTGCTCAATAGCTTCCAATGGCATTCCATGGACAGCTATAAAAAATAAGTAAACATGCATATATAAGATTTGAGGCTTTGCATGGTGGAGTATCAGTATCGTTTCGGTTTGCGGTAACACCATGTGGTTATAACTACTGCTTAGAAGATATTTAGTTTTTTAAAAGAACTTGTCCTGCTTATTATCAACTTCAAACACGCATAGCTTCTGATGACATGAATCAATTTCAGTAATTTATTCATTCAAGGTCGTTTGCTCAGCTCGTAGCTCACAAAATATTCACCACTTTGGGTTCTGCTTCGTTTTTGCAGGCCAGGCAACAGGCTGCATTTCGATGTTCCTGACAATGCCCCAGCTCCCCGGGAAGAAACGAGGAGTCGCACTCTGAACAAAGAGCACATCATCAGAAGATGTATCCTTTTTACCACGAATTCCGTTGTGTTTTTTTTTAACGGTAGAGTATATTTGTCATGTGTGCATTTTGTTTCGTTTGAAGCAACAAAAGTGATCAAAATCTAAAGAAGGGTCTTAAAACAACTAACCTGATAAAGTTTTAGCTCAGTGAATGTAGTATATTCGGAGAAAACAATATTTTAGGATCTTGAATCAAAAGTTGCCGAGTCCTTTTTTGAATTTCACCTGAAATTCGCATCCGGGACACGTTCTCTCTCATCCGATTGCAGCTATGCCATGTTGCTCGCTAAACTGACGAATAATTGCAACCGCGTGTGTGTCGTGTCAACGCTCACTGAGCATATACCCATTCACAGCTTAACCAAATTAATAGTACTAGGGGAAGTTTCCAAAAATGCTTCTTCGGACGCTTCTTTGGAAATAACCTTCTTTTCTTGTTTTCTTCAAAATGAAAGCTTGCCAGAAAGAATAATTTCATTGGGAGTTTAGTGCCATTACTATATTTAAACCAAGTATGCTTTTCAACAATAATTTTGTCAGTTACTTTTTGGATAGCTGCAAATGATGGACTCTACCTTTAACCCTTACTCCCTAGCGTCTTTTACTAGGAACTGAACCTAGTCCATCAAAATCCATCAATCACTGTGCATCCAATACAAAACTGTACATGACATAATGGAATCCACCACTGACGCACTGGTTGACATTAATGGACTTGCTACACATGGCTTTTATCGCAATAGCAGTACAGGAAGCTAGGCAAAATCAATTGGATACCCCTAGCACTGCTTCAGGCCTTCAGGCCCAAGTCCATCATACTCCATCAATATTTAATAGTCACGCCAGGCCTCCTGGACCAAGTCCCCAAAAATCAACCAAAATGGGGGGGGGGGGGGGATTTTGATGAGTTCGGTGGTTAGAGTTAAAGCTATAGTCCATCATTTGCAGCCATCCGAAAAGTAACTGGCGTAATTATTGTTGAAAAACAAACTTGGTTGAAAGATAGTAAGGGAACTAAACTCCCTGTGAAATTATTCTTTCTGGGAAGCTGTCATTTTGAAGTAATCAACGAAAGAAGGCATTTCCAACGGTGATTCTTAAGAAGCACCGTAGGAAAATTTAAATTAGTAGTTTGTTTTGTTATTCAGCGCAGCGCGCACAAGTATTGGAACGACGCACACGCGCGCGCGGTTGTTGTAATTCGTCGGATCAGTGCGCGACGTCGCGTATAGCTGCAATTCAAAACAATTCAAAACATGATTCAGTAACTTTTGATTTGAAATTGAGATCTTAGAATGCTGTTTTTCTCGGAATGTACAGCTGAAGCTTAGCTGAAACTTCATCAGGTTAGTTGCTCAGTATCCTTCATTAGATTTTGAACTCATTTGTTGCTTCAAACGAACAAAATGCACAAATTACAAATGATGGACTGTAGCTTTAAGGGACTTTGCAAGACATGCATCATTTCTTAGTGGTCTGAATACATTGCTGAAAATCCTGATCTATCATGAATCTAAGACATTTTCCCGATCCCTGTAGTGGTTGTCCAAGACTGAATTGGGAGTGGCGGTTTTCTGTATGTTAATTGCCCATATTTAACAGACGTATAGATACCTATCCTTAATTGTTGATAATCAGCCATGGGTCTACTGGATCAGGCAACAGGTGCAACCGCCACCCCAGGGCCACGAATACCACGCACACCGGGCAGTGGTCTCAAGCACAGCACATGTGAGTCATATGTCACAACTCATTCAAATTTAGTCCTGACGCTCCTCAATCCTCCAAAATCAACCAGGCGGTTTTTGGAGGATTGAGGCTATATGCTGTTTTAGTGCCAATTGATTTTGGATGAAGCATTGTGTCAAGGTCTTAAGCTGCACCTTTGTGTTGTTTATGCTAAGCCATGCCTAAATTATGCCTAGATTATACTGGATACCATTCGCACTGCTTCTGGATCTCGTCGGCAATTCCTCATTGTATTGGAGTGATTGGTGGAGAATTTTGAAGGATTGAGGTAGTGGTCATGCCTCCACTGAACAAATGCAAGAAATAATGAATGTTTTTGGATGATGGAGGCCGTGTCTAATTTTTACATGGTGGCAGTTGGAGGATGTGAAAGGATTGAGGATGGATCCTAGCAAAAAGGCCTAGGGGGTTGATAGGGTTAACATAACCCTGCTAAATGCAACAGAAAGCAACAGTGGTAAAAGTTGTTGCATACTGTTGCATTTAGCAAACAACTGAAGTTTCATGTCTTGTTGCATCTTGTTGCATTTAGCAGGTTAACTCCTCATAGTATCAAAGTTGATGTAACGAAATCCACCATTACATTTGGTAGCATTTCACATGGTTCGCATTTCAGCTGTGTTGGATTTTGTTGTATTTAGTAGGATAAATTGCTCATAGTGCTAAGGCTGGCGCAACAGAATCCACTGATGCTATTTGGTTGCATTTAGCATGGTTGGCATTTCAGCTGTGTTGGATTTTGTTGTATTTAGCAGGGTAACTGCTCACAGTACCAAGGCTGGGGCAAAAGCATCCACCATTGCATTTGGTTGCATTTAGCATGGTTCTCGTTTCAGCTGTACATGTATTAGATTTTGTTGTATTTAGTAGGATCACTGCTCACAGTGATGGCGCAACAGAATAGCCACTGTTGCAATTGGTTGCATTTAGCATGGTTCTCGTTTCAGCCTTGTTGGATTTTGTTGTATTTAGTTGTATTTAGTAGGATAGATTGCTCATTGTTGTGAGGCTGGCGCAACAGAGTCTACTGTTGCACTTGGTTGCATTTAGCATGGCTCTCATTTCAGCTGTGTTGGATTTTGTTGTATTTAGCAGGGTAACTGCTCACAACGCCAAGGCTTGGGCGAAAGCATCAACCTTTGCATTTGGTTGCATTTAGCGTGGTTCTCATTTCAGCTGTGTTGGAATTTATTTAATTGCTCAAAAGTGCCGAGGCTGGTACAACAGAATCCACCAATGCATTTGGTTGCATTTAGCATGGTTCTCATTTCAGCTGTGTTGGATTTTATTGCATTTAGCATGTTTAGCAGCATCTGAAGAAAACCTGAGGGGATTAGACTAAACACAAATTTTTATAAACTGCCATTGGAGAATTTCGTTGCAAGTTTTTCTTTTTTTTTGAAGTTGTGTTAAACTTCATTTAATTCTGTTGGATTTTGCCTTCAGATACACCCAGTCGACTGCCAACCACCTCCCAGTTCGATGTCTCGGATTTGATGGGCCAAACACCAAGCAGGTCTCTCTTAACTCCCGGAAGAACGGTAACTGACTAGATATATTATATTAATATTTTCACACTCTTTCTTCTTAATCTTTCAATCCTCGAAATTCCACCAAAACTTTGATGGTGTTGAATTTTAAACCTTCTCCACCTCCATTCTGCAGTTTAACTTGTCGGCAGTCGACCAGACACGCCTGAACACGTCCCTCTTTCTGGCCACACCCAGGCAGACTGCCCCCGCAGGCCATGACACGTCTGCCCTTCAAACGCCAGGGGGGCAGACGGAAGATTTCACAAGCGTCAACATCCACCTGCTGCTGGCGGAAGACCCAGGAGTAGCAGGTAAAAGCAAAAACTTGCACTCAATTTTTATGGAATTGCACAATTTTGATGGCCAATTGAAAACAAGTACCGCTTTTTTGTTTTGTCCACGGCGACTGATATTTGACTACCGCAATAAGAACACGGGCCGAAACTTGCATCCGTGAAAGAGGCTACCAAGTAGAGGGCGAGGCACAGCAGCACAGTAAACATCTAAGAAGTTAACCAAACAGTCCTTTTCAGGACTACCATTTCTTCCGAAAGAAAAAACGACCGTTGTTCCAAGAAAATGAAAAATAAAAAAGATGCAAATAAAGCAAGAAATTTTTTTTTTTTAAATTAAAGAAAGCAAAACTACCCTCACCCAAAATCCATTACATTCCTAATAATGACAATTGAGACCTTGGACAAAATGAAACATCGGCCTTTCTGTAATTGGCCATAACTCAATAAATATTTACCCGATTGGAAAGATTTGTTTGTTGTTGAAAAACAATTGAGCTATACTCTTTAAACATGTATCGATAGTTGCGAAGTACTATTTTGACAATTTTTTTTCCTTTTTCTTTTGTAGCATCGGAGGGTCTTTTCGAGGAGTTCATGCAGTGTTTCACTGGTCACCAGTCGCCCACTGATGTCTTTACGTTAGTCGCGAGGTACCAGGAAGTGTGCACAGAACAAGTGAACATGCTGAACAACCTCGTACGAAAGGCGGGCGTGTCGTCATCTTATGGCCTACCCAAGAAGTGAGTTGTCTGTTAGAAAGTACATGCTACGCTAATACATTAGGCACCGGCCACTGGACAGTAAAGTTGCTAAGCGCAAATTTGAACCTTGCACAAATTGTTTTCCTTGACCCTAACCTTCCCAGATCCTCCAAAATCCTCTTTGCAAAATGGAGGATTTTGCAGGATTGAGGCTATATGGCAAAAATGTGTTGCTGATTTTGGAAGATGCACTGTGTATCAAGGTCTTTGGCCGGACCTTGTGTTGTTTATGCTTAGCCGTGCATAAATTTAGGCCTAGATTATACTTGAAATCCTCAGCACCGCTCCAAGATGTCACTGGCTCTGCCTCAACTTATTGACACTGATTGCTGGAGGATTGTGCAGGATTGAGGCAGTGGTCACCCCTACCAAGGACCACATTCAAGAGATAACGGAGGATTTTGCAGGATTGAGGCTGTTTTACAATTTTTACATGGAGGCAATTGGATGATTTCGCAGGAATGAGGTTGCATTCTTTCAAAAATACCCAGGGAGTTAGGGTTAATTTATAAAGCCACGCAGTTCAAATGACCTAATTCGCAAGATAATCAACTCGGGAATAAGGAAAGTAAAGTTGCGCACGTCCTAAATTTGTTCTTAAAGCTTGTTCACGTCTCCAGTGTCGCACTGCACATTTCAGCCGTGCGTCTCATACGCACGTGCACGCTATCTGACTTTTATGGACGCATGTTAAACGTTTATCACGGCCATCCAAAATCCTCTGAAATCACCACACATTTTTCAAGGATTTTGAAGAATTTAGTACTGCAGTGTCCAGACACCATTACTTTTTTTTTTGGAGATAGAATAGTTAAGGATCTTCTATCATTTTGAATTCTGTCTGAAGGTTTGCTCGCACTGTTGAAGTCTTGCGCCTGTTGGAGCAGGAGAAATGTACGTGGCGTCTGATTGGCTCATTGTATCAGGACCGGCAAACCGCACTGGAGGACAATCAGGAGGATATGGATGTCAATTTAGAGGTATGCGAGCAGTAGTCCACAGTTATGTGGTTATTAATTAGGGCTGGGACGGTTAGCCAGCTACCCGATACCTGACAGAAAGTGGTGGGTACCTGGTTCCAAGCCGAAGGTTTAAAACCACCCACGTGAAGGGCTCTTTCTCAGGTATTTATGAATAACCATTCATAAATACCTAAGACAGTTTACCCATTTCTATTGGTCAAGAGCCTGTCACTTGGCCGGTCTTAAACGGTTGATAAAGACCAGTTGGCTGGTCTAAAACACTTTTCAAGTGTCACATTAAATTTTGACTCATAAAATCCGGTGCCTTTTATCGTTTTATTGGTTGAACGTTCACAATCCTCACATAGGCATGCGCAATACTACCAGTGAGTCGGTATTTCACAGTCCTAAATTCACAATACACCGGCACAGCTGCGTTCTGCGCCACATCGCGCAGTACGCACGATGCACGCGCCAATCTCCATATAAATATTTCCCCTATCTGCCCCACTATTTGCTCTTTGTTCTTTATTCCGACAGACCTCAAGTCCGAGTGAGAAGGACATCATGGATGCCTTCTTCAGTCGCAACGACGACGTCCGCCAGAGCCAGATTGTCGTGGACTGGCTCGAGGAGAACTCCAAGGACGTCCTGAGATCCAACTGCGACCGGGCCGAGTTCTACTCCAAGTCCATCTGCTGGTAAAGTCTGGCTGCAGAAGTCTGCGAAATTCTGAAGAAATTCTGAAGATTTCTGACCAATGTTCACTCAAGCTGCATCAGAAGATACTAGCAAAACCATAATCAGGAAGCCCTCTATGCAAACGGTGCATATTAGGCTGGTGGTAACTTAAGCCGCCGTCAAGTCAACCTGTGAGTTGCTTGCGCCGCAACCGAACCGTCAGCATTAAGCAGAAAAGTCAGGCTCAGGTCACAAAAATGAGAATCGTGTGATTATCTTGGAACAAGCATCATCTGGGCACAGAATAATCGCAACCATGCTCGCGTCACCCACGATGTGACAATGATTCACAAATAAAATTAGATGACGCACGACAGCGTAACTTCACAGAGGTCGACTGCGATTGATTGCTGCGCTTCGGGAACGCGTTCCGTTGCATCACAGAATTTGAAATTTTTCTAATCTTGCGACTGTCAATTGTTTTTGAGTGGGCACTGATGCTGATCATCTTAATATCATCGCAGTTACACTCACGTCGCAAAAAAATACGGCGGCTGATATGTTGCTGACAGTCGTAGCTCAGGTGCAGCTTGATCCTGAAAAGCCAGTCACCGACTTTTCAGTGTCGTTGCAAGGTCAACCTGAGAACAGCTTTAGGAAAAGAATTGTCTGCAGATAGTATTGATGCTGGCCAGAAAAAGAATTCTGTACTAATTAGCCTATCTATTATCAGTGGTGAAGCAAATTTAAAAATAGCTCGACCAGCATTGTCACTCACCTACTGAGACCTTTGCATTTGGTATGGAAAAGGTTTTGCTTTGAGATATCAACATTTGATGATTTATAGGAGATTATCTGTGTTGCCCGAAATGTGTCAATTTTTGAAACCGAAATAAAAATCACCAAATGTCGTATGAATCTTCATGTTTGTTTTCACAGATCTTCAGCAATATCTTTGGAAATATGGAATTGTTTCAAGTGAAATAGTTGACCCTTTTACCAAAAAAAAGTAGGTCTAGAATTGCAATTAACGTTTTTCAGCAAATTAAAAGCGAGAAATATATTTTAGTGTTTGACAAGTTTGAATGTTGGAGTTTTTCATCTGCAAAGCCCGTGTTCCTTCTTCTCGTAGGGAGAACACCTTACATGATCTTCAGCGGCAGGTCGGTTCTGGTCAGAAGCAATCCTCGCTACCCCACCTGGACCCAGACGCGCCCGTCCGAGAGAACAAACCCTTAGCTGATCTGGACAAGGTACGGTCAAGTGTAGCCCTAACTTATAAGGCTATTAACTTAGAAAATCTATGGATTCTATCACAACAGACAACAGGGCCCAATGTCATAGAGCTGCTTAAGCATAATCATTTGCTTAAGCACAAAAAAACCTTGCTTAATATAATCATGTTACCGGCCAAAACTCCATGCGATGTACATTGCTTCTGACTGGTATTTAGCTGTTGTTTACTTAGCATAACAATCGCATGGAGTTGCGGTGGGTAACCTGATTATATGAAGCAACAATTTTTTGTGCTCAAGCAAATTTTATGCTTAAGCAGCTCTATGAAATTGGGCCCAGTTGTTTACCATTATATGTTATCTGTCATCACAAAATGAGCTTAAAGTCAGACTTTTTAAGAATTCGGATATTTATATATCTGGATTCTGTAGAACAAGAGCTTTCCAATGTGTAGTGTTGGTACCCAATTATTTCAGTGCTGGGGTGCACGGTAGTGGATAGGTGGATGCTTGGGTGGGTAGCTCAGCCCCACAGTGCAGGGACTCGATAAAGAGACACGTGTAGACCGATTGAAGTTACTTATTCAATCCTGCTTCATGTTGGCTGGGAGCTCTTAACTGTTGAAAACAATCACTTGATTGATTTTGACTGAAAGGACAATTTTCCACAGAGTATATGTTTGCATAGGAGAGTTAAAATGTCATTTTCATGTCTACAGGTCTTTTATGTTTTTTGCCACCCCTATGCATTGTCAACTGAACATTGCAATCTTTTCAGTCGTTGATAATACATGCATCTGCGTTGTCATGCCCATGGATCTGCGTTGACGCATGCATGCCCGAGGGCACTGTTCACGTGTGCGTAGCGTATATTCTAGATATATTGTGAGGAGAAGAAAACATGCTTGATAATCTGTGAGAACGATCAAGCTCATATATGAGGTGATGCACACTGCCAAACAAGCAGTTCGGCCTACATTAACTTCTGAAATACGTCACATGATCAGTTCTCAACCAATGAATATCCACAATCTGGTACCATGTTCTAACTATTTTTGTCACCATTTCTCTTTGTTAGGAGGATGAGGTTCGTCTCCTGCGGGAGGTGTTTAGCAACATCCGGGCGGGCTTGATGGAGGAAGCGCAACGACTGTGCAGGAAGTGCGGCCAGTCGTGGCGGGCGGCAACGCTGGAAGGCTGGAGGCTGTATCATGACCCCAATATCAATGGAGGTAATGCCAGAGTTGTAAATGAGTCAGTCACGTAAGTCACCGCAAGTCATCTAGAAGCAAGTGACAAGCTATTCAAAGGAGCTGTGACAAAGACTTGTGATTTGACTTGTCACCTGATTTGTCATGTGACTTGTTACATGATTTGTCATGTGACTTGTGATACGATTTGTCATGTGACTTGTGATACAATTTTCATTTGACTTGTGACATGAATTGTCACGTAACTTGTGATATAATTTGTCATGTGACTTGTGATACAATTTGTCATGTGACTTGTGATACTATTTGTCATGTGACTTGTGATACGATTTGTCACGTGACTTGTGACATGATTTGTCATGTGACTTGTGATACGATTTGTCATGTGACTTGTGATACGATTTGTTGTGACTTGTGATACGATTTGTCATGTGACTTTTTATACGATTTGTCATGTGACTTGTGACATGATTTGTCACATAACTTGTGATATAATTTGTCACGTGACTTGTGATATGGTTGGTCATGTGACTTGTGATATAGTTTGTCATGTGACTTGTGATATGATTTGTCATGTGACTTGTGATACGATTTGTCATGTGACTTTTGATATGATTTGTCATGTGACTTGTGATACAATTTTCATGTGACTTGTGACATGATTTGTCACGTGACTTGTGATATAATTTGTCATGTGACTTGTGATATGATTTGTCATGCGACTTCACAATGTCAGCATTACCTGTTGTTACTACTAAATTTGCCCATTCTACCCAACCCAGCCTTTTATTTTCATAAAGTGCACATATTTACTCAAATTTATACGCCAGGCACAACTTCCTTTTTTCCCTTCTGATATGGGCTTGGAAAATCTGTGGAAGATTGCAGTGCAATGAGTCTGGATCTGGATCAATACTCACAAACTCCCATCACAAAATATAAAGTCGTCGGCAAAATAATTCAAGTCTCCATGCAATTGGCAAAAGTGCAGTTTTCATTTCCGTCACGTTACCACCACAGCTTATCTTACGAATGTTTTCGTCAATCTGAATCAAGTGAATAAACATTTTGTGCGCTCTGAGACCAATTTTTACTGTGCTTGCCTTGTCGTCTTGTTCATGAAACTCATTGGTTTCCGCAGTGCCGGCATCAGGGGAGCTGCAGGCCATCACGGGCAACATGTACCGGGACATCTGGAAGGCAGTTTGTTGGCGAATGGCGGAAGATGAGAGATTCAATGTGTATGAGCGGGCCATCTATGCTGCGCTTAGCGGCAATCTCAAAGAGGTAAGTGTCATGTTAAACCGAAAGATACCGCCCATTCTCAGATGGGCACAGATCCATTCTAATTTCCGGAATCCAACTAGGGGTAGTACATGTATATTGATATGCGACAATTGAAGATCCGGACCAACTTCCAAAATGGGATTGACCCAATTATAATTACAGACCTGCTTGCTTAGTTTCAGTTTTCTTGGGAAAAAACACACCTGTTTTGGAGGATTTCGGCAGATTCAGGATACCTCCATATTGAAAAAATGGGAGATTTTGATGGATGTCGGACAGTAAACCTAGCGGTACAGCAGGATTTTGATGGATCAGGATACCTCCATATTGAGCAGTTGGGGGACTTTGATGGATTTAGGATCTCAACAGTTTAACTGCTTGGCTATATGTTTGGTGTGTACGAGGTATTTGTACTTCACGGGTGGATTCTGATGGACTCACTGGTAGATTCTGATGGACTTAGGACACCAACATTTTTTTTGCATAGCAAAATTGGTTGATTTTGGCGGATTCAGGACACTTTCTAGTAAAAGTGCTCAAGGGGTTAGGGTTATTGCTAAACAATTGTCCAGTTTTCCTTTTTTTCAGAAGTAAACCTCAAAACTCACATCCTCACCTAATTTGTTACCTTTTGCGCTTCAGCTCCTTCCAGCTTGTGACACCTGGGACGATTGCCTCTGGGCCTACTTCAAAGTCTTGGTGGATCGACAGGTGGAGCAGGAGATCAGAGAGAAGCTGAACATCCGCAGAGAGCTGGAAGCCCTGCCCGACGCTTACTATGACAAAGAGTGAGTGCTAACTTCAGTATCTGAGTCACTGACCTCTACATACCAACTGAATAGCGCATGCCACTGTGAAGCCACTGCTAGTCCGCTTTTGGCCCCCCAATATGGCCGCCATTATGTTCAACCCATACAGTAGGGTTTAGGAAGGGTAAGCAAAGACACAAAGACCCAGACCCATTTTCTTGGAGTTTTAAAAAGACAATATTGTGCAGCAATTTCATTGCATACGCATTACGCACACTTCCAGAGAAATTGGTCGAAATCCTGCAACTAGTTCCCGACACAATGGGACTGATGCGGATAATTTCGTATGCAACTTATCCTGGATATTTAATGAGATGCCTATATATGATTTTGAGTTTTGCCTCCTATTGTTGTTGTTGTCTTTTGTTGTTGTTTTTTGTCAGGCTAACACCTTTGAGAATTTTTCAAGAGCTTCAGTCCCACCCAAGACAGGTAAAGCAAAAAGAAAAATATCACCTATTCTTTAAATGAACAACAAAAAAATTTAAAAACTAATTCTCGAAAATTCTGAACAAGAATGTGTGTGTCACCGTGTAAAGTAATAGTGATTTTGAATCAACACTTTAACTGTACGTAATTCGTCAAAGTAATGCGAAACTGTTTTTTGGCAGTTATAGAGTCGTGCAATTTTATTTGTTTGGGTTAATTTTGTATTTTTATAGTCTGAGAATTAAAAGGTGTCTTTCTTTCCGTCAAAACAGATTGTTGAGATGCAATCCAAAGAGAGACACCACATTATACAGAAGTACATCATTCTTGGAGACATTGATGGTAAGACTGGCGACACATTTTCAAACTGAATGGCTTATTTTCTAGTTACACCTTTAAAGGGAAGATACAACATTTGCAAACATCAAAAAAACGAAATGATCACAAAATACCTTACTGGATTGTTAGGGAGTGGCAGTCTAAAGCATCCTGTAAAATCGTGGCTCCTGGTGTGCTGACATTTTCAAGACAAAATTTAGTCTTCCAACCAGCGTTGGAGAAAACTGGCTTTTTTCAAAAATTGCTCCTAAATTAGCAAATTCAGTTATTCCACATTTTCTTTGCAATTGATTACACACCTGTGAAGGAGTACAAGCCTGCTAGACTGATTCTCTGACCTTACAATTCCCCAAAGTCTATAAATTGCTCTGTTTCATCTTAAGTGGGGTCAGGGAACCAGACTACCACAACGTGAATGGTTTTCTTGGTTTTTCCAGCATCTTCAAGCCCAAAAAGTAAAACAAGTCAGTTAAACAATTATTTGCTATAACATATTAATCCTCCAAATCCATTTATTTCTGAAAATTGCAGCACTAAAAGCAAATGTTGTAGATTCTCTTTAAAATATACTGTCTATATCTTCAACAACTTTGATTTGTATCGCCTTACAAATTTTGACCAATATGTCATGTACTTAATAACACAGGAACCAGTCTACCTCTCAAGAACTCAATTATTGTCAGGCTGCAAATACTTTTTAATTTGTAAAGTAATAATTCTGTAACTAAATGTGGGTCAATTTTGTTATGTCTCATTTAAAAGTTAAAAAAAAAACTTAGGGGTCATTCTATAAATTTGGGGTACTTTTTTTTCCTGTCCCTTTTACATCTGACATTTAAGATTTTATAATTCTGATGCACTCCTTAATGCAGTCATCCTCTAAGAGTGATTATGAGTAGCAAACAACCTACCCAACATATAAAAATGGTTTGAAGTCATTCGTAATGATACTTGACTGGCAAATTACAGAGTACCGAGGTAACAGGGACAGGAAAAATGTCACACATTGGACCCTTATTTTATAGAGTGACCCCTTCTATGCAAACATACATTCTGTGCTAAGTAGTCCTTTCAGTCAAAATCAATCAAGTAAATGTTTTTAACAGTTTAGAATTCGCAGCCTACATAAAGCTGGATTGACTGGCTGGGACTGTTTAAGTATACAGCTATGCATTGACTCCGGGTGAGTGATAAAACAGCTGTGACCACAACCTGCCTGCTTTGTCTGTTGACCCAGTTTGACTAGTCACAGTGCTGGTGACTAGCCTGTATTAAAAGTAGAGCAGGGGAGGTGGAAGTGAATTTTGACTGTCTGTGACTGTTTAAATAGCAGGAGGGGTAAAGAAATTTGTTTCTTTTTTGGCATTTTTAGCTCTGATTGAAGAAATGGGTGATTGGATATCGGATGACGTCAGTCGTCCCTCGCATCATCTGGTTCGGTTCATGGCCCACGTGGTTCTCTTCATAAGATCCCTCGGTCTCCAGACGAAAGACGCCATCTGCGTGGCCATCATTGAGGCTTATGTCAAGGTAAGGCTGCGTCCGAGTGTCTTGGCTGTGGCTCGCGATAACACACAAGTCTATGGGCAGTGGATGTAGCCATGTCCATAGGCCCGTGTGTAATTGCTAGCCAGGTAATGTGCAAGTGGCTCAAGATCTGAGCTAGTGAGATTTATGCCATTTGAAGCTTTTGTGTGGTGGAGAGGGCAGTTTTCGAGAATTTTTGCGACTAGACAACATGCAACGGATAAGGATAATGATCATTTTGTTGGCAACCATTAACGGGTTGGATTCGCTATAAATAACATCAAAAATGAAAAAAGTACATCATATAATCTGTTAACTTACATTATATAATCTTTAAACAAATGATTAACTTATACGAATAAAAAGTTAACAAAGGTTAGTAAAAGTAAACGTTAATATTTAAATATGGCCAGTTATATTACAAGACAAAATGACTAATTTAAAAAAAAACAGGTGCTCTGAGACTTTCACTTGAACGGAATTTTACTTCATATTTGAATTGTCATTTGTGCATTTTTTTCGTTTGAAGCAACAAAAGTGCTGGAAATCTAAAGACGGGTGCTTAACAACTAACCTGATGAAGTTTTAGCTTTGTGAATGCTGTATATTCCGAGAAAACAATATTCTAGGCTTTCGATTTCAAATCAACAGTTGCAGAGTCATGTTTTGAATTTCGCCCGAAATCAGCGTCAGGGACACGTTCTTATTCAGCCGATTGCAGCTACGCGATGTCACGCACTGAACCAATGAATTATAGCAACCGCGCGCACGTGTGCGTCATGCCAATGCTTGCGCGCGCCCATTCAAGGTTTCACCGAATTAAAAGCGAACTACTAATGGAAATTTCCAAAAATGCATCTTAAGACGCACCTTTGGAAATGAACTTGTTTTATTGTTTTCTTCAAAATGACAGCATGCCAGAAAGAATAATTTCACAGGGAGTTTAGTGCCATTACTATCTTTAAACCAAGTATGCTTTTCAACAATAACTTCGTCAGTTAATATTTGGAAAGCTGCAAGTGATATACTCTACCTTTTAAGCATAAGACCGAAATGGTGTGGTGAATTTTTCAGGTTTTTTTAACTAGACCCAACTTTGCCAAGACATGAAAGGTATCTTTAAGTATTCATTGCATTTTATCCTTGACTCCAGGATTTGATTGCAGAGAAACACAGCAAGTTAGTAGCAGTGTACACCGCTCAGTTACCGTACGATATGCAAGTGTCTTGGTACGCAAGGTTCCTAGAAGGTGAGTTATCCTGTCCAAAAAGGCACGAGCCCTTTCTCTTTTGCCAGGTATTAATTCTAGCCCTACTGTGTAATTTTCAGAAATGGATGGAATTGGGGGGTTGGAAATATATAGCAAATATAGTTACACTGACTTTTTTGAGGTTTTGGGTTCGAAAATGCTATAAAAACCAAGAAAAACAATCATTTTCCTGTAGTCTGGTTCCCTGACTCCATATAAGAAGAAACAGATCAGTTTACATACATTGGGGAATTGTAAGGTCAGGGAACCAGTCTAGCTGGCTTGTACCCGTTCATAGGTGTGTAATCAATTGCAAACAAGTGCGATGGTCAATTGGGGCCAGTATTAGAAAAAAAGCCAGATTTTCCAATGCTGGTCGGCCGACCAGCGTTGGAAATTGATACAAAAATACCACTTTTCTTGACAATGACAGTATACCAGGTGCCATGATTTTACAGGATGCTTTACACTGTCATTCACTAACAGTCCAGCTAGGTATTTCAAAATGATTTGGTAGTTTTATTTTTGATGTTTGCAAATGTTGTATTTTCCCTTTAACTGGACATTTTAGGCCAGTTCATTTATACATTCCTTCAGGTAATTTGCTGTCTCGGTACATGATGTTTTTGTTAATTAATTTATCATTTATAGTGTATTTTAAGAATTTTTATGGAAAGCGCATTTGAATACAATTTTTATAGAATTTGCGCTATACAAATTAATGAATTATTATAAATACTATATGATGGAGTGCCGTGGCCTTGTGGTCTGGGGCATTGAATTTGTGGTCTGCGGGTAATTCTGCAGGTTGTGGGTTCGAGTCCAGCCTGGGGTTTTATGGTGCGTGTGCCCTTGGGTGAGGCACTTTTTCACTCATTGCTTCTCCTCACCCAGGAGTAAATTGTGTACCTGTGTGGGCAGAGATGGTTATGATTTTAGCTGCTTTGCGCCCAAATGGCAGCATAGATAGAGCTGTATACTCCCCAGGCAGCCGAGATTGTCTTTGGAATGTTTCATTGGCCCAATGAGCAGGGTAATAATGATGTAGCGCCCTGAGCACCAATACTGATGGATGCGTGCGCTTTATAAATACACTCATTATTATTATTATGGGCATAAATTGACATGGTTAAAATTTGTTTAACTTTTGCAAATTTGCATGACTCCTAACCCCCTGTTACATGGTAAATTTGTGTCAATGTTTGCATTTGCTCCGAGTATTAAAAACTTGAGACTCGTAAGTTTGATTTCTTTTCTTTCCTTACCTACTTTGCACTGGGATTATTTTTGCCGAAAATTTTGATTTTTGCAAAAGACAAAATTTTCCAGTCACCTTCTGATATACAGCCAAGCGCCACAAATACTTATTCGCAAGAGTCATTTCCAACAGTATATGTGCGATATTTCTTACCCAAACCTCATGTGTTTCGATAGTACGAGGTGTGCACTGGAACGTAAATTGTAGAACAATAGGTCACGCACAACGGCCATTTCAAGATTAACACATGGTCCGCCTCCACAGACTTCACGGACTGTGTGTGCATAGCTGCCAACTATTACGAATTTTTCGTAATTATTACGATTTTTTGTTAAATTACGAAAATACGAATTGCCACAAAAAAATTACGAATTTCCCATTTTCTACCTAGCGCCGCTAGTTGGTTCAATTTTCGTCTGCTGCGTTGTCTTGCTTTCCATGACGTCTTTTCACGACAACGCACCAGACGAAAATTTAACCTACTAGCGGCTCTTGAAAGCGGTGTGGTACCCACATACATCGCGCAATTTTTTTTTCCGATAATCATCACGTGATGCATTCATTTGCATAATTGGTAAACAAGATGGACGACAGCCGTTGGAACTGGACAGTTTTTATGGACAAGCCGCCGAAATCGTCAACAATTTTCACTTTTTTGGGGGGGGGGGTTCTGTTTCAAGTCGATCATTAGCTTCGTGAATGACTGCTGAATGGTGTGAGGTATGTCCATGGAATCTGGGGTGGGATTATAGAGGTGAAAATGGACCATTTTTGTAGAGGCCCTTTTTTAGGGTCTCTTGCTACCACACTCTAAATGAATAGGTTATGTCTCCAGCGCTACATGTGAATGAATATGAGCATGTCAGCTGGAGTTACTCAAGCTAACCGTGGTCCTAAACCATTGTGTGTAAACATGATACGAACTCTAAACTCAACATCGATGGCATGCATCTCAAAAAAATATGCGCACGTTATTATTGTTGTTATTTATTTGACTTCAACAAACAAATACAGACAGTAAAACAAATTAATGAAAAAAGAATATTAAAATTGTTTTTTTTTTTTGTTTTTTTTTTTTTTTTAATTATCCTATGGCCAACAGTACATTATTAATCACAACAAGAAGGGTATGCACATGTATATGTACATGTAAACCATGTACCTGTACTTGATTTTGGTAAAGCTGAAAATGACCGCGCGGGTTGATTACTAATTGGGATTTTGAAAAGTTGGCAGCTATGTGTGTGTTTGTACAGAAGACGAGAGGGATTAGCGTGTTTAGACGTCAGGGCGAGTCGAGGCAATCTTGATGTTTTAACCCGTCTGCCGTGCCTGTGTATAAAAACAGCCAGTGTGTGTTATCACGTCCTCCAACGCGAACTGATAAACTAACCCCTTCCCCTTTGTCCTGTTGCTTCTCAGGTATCCATGACAAAGAGGAGAGACAACGCTGTCTGCAGTTAGCTGAAGAGGCCGGTAGGTAGCCCAAAACAGCATTGCTATTCCTCGCACTGAGTTAACCCTAGCCTTCCCAAATCCTCCAAAATCCTCTTCACACAAGTGGAAGGATTTTGAAGGATTGAAGGCTGTATTGGCAAAAATGTGTCTGTTGATTTTGGAGGATGAATTGTGTCAATGTTTTAGGCTGTACCTTGTGGTGTTTATGCTTAGCCATGCATAAATGTAGGTCGAGATAATACTAATAATCATCCGCACTGCTTCTGGATATCATCGGCATTGCCTCAATGTATAAACAGTGGTTGCTGGAGGATTTTGCAGGATTGAGGCAACGGTTACCCCTCTACTGAACAAATTCAATAAATAATGGATGATTTTGGAGGATTGAGGCTGAATCCAATTTTTGCGTAGGATTTTGAAGGATTGAGGAAGTGGTCACACCTCCACTGAACAAATTCAATAAATAACGGATGATTTTGGAGGATTGAGGCCAAATCCAATTTGTACATGGAGGCAGTTGGAGGATTTTGAAGGATTAAAATCCGACTTAGGGTTAATTCCTAGGGTTAGGATTAATCGGTTATGAATTCGATAACCATCTTCATGTAATTGTGTATTTTGATTTTGTAGCATATGCATTTTTCCAAATTACTTTGCTCATGTATTTTTCATACTTGCATTTTCCATACTTGCATAAGTGTCTTATAATGCATTGGACATTTTTCTGAAGATCGTCAATTTATTTTTTCTTCGACAGGCTTGGATGTTGCTCAGATCACCAAGACGGTCGTCGAGAATATCCGAACTAGGGATGAGAGTGAGTTTGTCGCTCACACTCAGCCGTCCTCGTCACTTGAGGCAGCCACATCAGCGGTACGTAGCCATGGAGTTATTAACCCTAACTCCCCAGCGCCTTTACTAGGAACCGGACCAAGTCCATCAAAATCCATCAATCACTGTGCCTCCAAGCCGTCCAATACAAAAACTGTACCTGACATAATGGAATCCACCACTGACGCACTGGTTGACATTCATGGACTTGCTAAACATGGCTTTTATCACAGTAGCAGTACAGGAAGCCAGGCGAAATCAATCGGATACCCCTAGCACTGCTTCAGGCCATTAGGCCCAAGTCCATCATACTCCATCAATGTTAAGTCACGCCAGGCCTTCTGGACCAAGTCCCCCAAAATCCAACAAACTGGGGGATGGATTTTGATGGAGTTGGAGTGGTTAGAGTTAGACTTTCCAAAAAGTTAGTTTCTCTTTATGGTAAAATGAAAATATAACAGAGAACAGAAAAACATCTACTTTTTACAAGGACGAACAAAACATTTACACTTCCAAGCACTAGCAAAGTTATGAATAAGGAGCTAGATGTTGTTGGATGGACCTCGATAAAAACGGTGCATTACAGAAGGTGCCGTGTAAGTTTTCTCGTAAACATATTTTACGACCTTAAATTAAGGATGTGACTTTTTGTTTAATGTTGTAAACGTTTAGCAAATATTTTAAGAAACGGTTAAACGTTTAGCCATTTCGCAACGAAATGGGCTTACATGAGATAAAAAACATTGTTAGTTGTGAAATAAATGAACGTGTACAAGTCAAAGGCAGATCACATAAACAAAGGTCCTTTTTTCATATTTAAGGTTTCGTTTACACGTTTTTGAAAATATGTAAACGGATTTACAATATTTTTCGTTTAAACGTTTAAACCGGTAAACATCACATCCCTACCTTCAACACAATCTTGTGTATATGATTTGACATGTAATCTTTCTTGTAACTAAATAGATTGCAGTGCTCTTTTTCTTTTGTAACCAAATACAGGAAGATCGTCGTAAGATCGAAGCCACTGATTGGCTGGTGTTTGATCCAGCGCAGCGAGCTGAGGCACTCAAACAAAGCAACGCCATCATCAGGACATTCCTGGGTGAGACCAGTTTTCCAAAACCTACTTTTTTTCCCCCAATTTTTTTTTTATCCCCCCCCCCCCCAATTTTTTTTTTGCAGGGTTTTCACCCATCTTATAATAAGCAATTCATGCCCTTTACTTGAAAGTTTTCAATGAACTTGTGTAGATAGCTTTAATTGGTGTAAATATTTCTAAAATGCTTGTTTTTTTATGTTTGGTTGTTTCACAAATGCACTTTTTTGTCTTGAGAATTGTACTTTGCTTAATTTTATTTAATAATTTGTAATTTATGCAGGGCCCCAATGGAAACTGGTATTAAACTGTTTTGGGCATACCAAAAAAGAAATGGAAATGGAAATGGAAAAGAAATGGAATAATCATATCAATGAAAATAGTGACTGCAGCTTAAGAAGCTTTTAGACTCTGCACTTTGAGAACTCTTGCTCCATAAGCTTCAGGAACATCAAATCCTATGTTGCTATGCCTCATACATATTCATGAGTGAGGACCGAATTCTGGTCCATTTCACCATCACGTGTCAGCCGCTAGTTTCTCGCATTACCAAGCACACACGCGAGGATTCTCGCACGGGGTAAATACGCATAGGAGATTGACTATACATATTCATGAGCGAGAGCCGAATTCTCACTGGTCCATTCACCATCACGTGTTTTGCTAGCTACCAATTGCGCGCACGCAAGCAATCATGCGCATCGAAAATAAGCATGCGCAGTCCACTATCGCATGGTTTACCCATGTGACAGTTTGCTACACGTGATGGATTTGCGATGGCGGACTCGACTACAACACTTGATCTCACATTAACTCGAAAATTGCGACCCCTCAAATATCTTTTGACAGCCACCAAGAAGCACGATGCCGCTAAGGAAGTCTTCCGTAAGATTCCGGCCGACTCCGTCGACCTGATTTACAGGAACTGGCAAGCCCAGGCCGGACGGGAGACTCTTCCAGCTGAAGACGATAATGCGATCAGGGAATACCTCTGCATCCAAGCTTACTTGGTTAGTCGACAAGAAAGTCATGGTCCCTTTTTGTCTCGCCTGAACGAAATTCGGAAAAGAGACCAAGCAATCACTATGTCTGTCTGCATGTACATGTATATGCATGTGGTATTTTGGTTAAAATTTCGAAAAATTTGCCTCATTTCAAAAGTTAAAAGTCTAATTGGAACCAAACTTTAGTCATAGATGCAACGAGGCAACCTTCATATGATAATGATGTCAAAGGTCACATACCAAGTTGAAAGGTCATCTGAGGTCAAGTTGCAAATTAGGCTGAAAATGTAAAATTGGTCTCATTTGAAAAGTTCAAGTCCAATTGGAACCAAACTTGGGTCATAGATGCAACATGGCAACCTTCATATGATAATGATGTCAAAGGTCACATACCAAGGTCAAAGGTTATCTGAGGTCAAGTTGTAAGAAAGGCTGAACATGTAAAATTGGTCTCATTGGAAACAGGAAGACGCGTGGTTTGAGAACCACCTTGTTTTTTTTCTTCCGCAGCTATCTGGGGGGTTTTTTCTCAGAGAGGCAATATAATCTATTACTTTACCTTATACATATTCATGAGCGAGAAATGAATTCTGACTGGTCCATTCGCCATCACATGTCAGCCGCTAGTTTTGGTATTTACCAGCAGGCATGTTCGGAAGCACGCACAAGGTATGCATGCGCAGTTGAACAGCTGTTGAGTACATGTGTGATAGTCATCAAACTAGTTACCAAGGCTTCACTAGCTTGTCAACTTCCATTACCTCGGGGAGCTAATATCAACTATCCACCCTCAAACAATGTTATATTTGTATACTGATCCCGCCCAAAAATTTTCCGTATCAAATTTTCTTGCATGCTAGAGATTTTAATGAACGTTAATCTTTTCATGGAAAAAATGTTGCAACCTGTCGCCATTGTGTACAAAGTCTATGGGGAGTTAAGAAAATTTTCGAAGTATTTCCTAACATAATTGGAAATGTTTCTCAGTCCCAGATTCATGTCTTATCATCATTTTGTAATGAATGACCTTCGTTGAGATGATATATGAAGAAAAAAGTGGCGTCAGGTTGCAACATTTTTTTTTTCCTTTTTAGTTGTGGAGAGCTAGGCCTTGTAGACTACCTGTTACTACTTTAAAAAACAGATAGACGAATAAAAGTTGTGATTGTGGCAGCTAGGATTTTCCAAAATTCATCGGATTGCATTGCACATCTTTGTTTTGGTCCTAAATACACATTGAACCAACAAAATTGCTCAAGATATAATATGGTCATATAAAACAAACCTTTCTTCCATTTACAAGTGCTAAGCTTATCAACCAGCAGCTCTGTAATTGTTTTTTGCCCAAATATTTTTTGTCACAAAAAGTTGGGTCAGAAAACGACAGGAAAAGTAGGGTCAGAAACGATACGAACTAGGCAAAGCCTCATGAATGTTCCTTATTGGTCTCTCCCAAAAAAGTGACTTGAGATACCAATTTTGTTTACTTCTTTTTGTTATATTTTTTGAGCAGAATGCCCTGGATTCGTTCAACGACTGGTTTGAGCACTTCCACAACAAGCGTCCCGCAGAACCCTTGAAACCGGACAACGCCAACTTCCACGAGATGGTCCGCTTCGAGCACGAGCTGAGGGAGTACGAGGTACAATAGACTGCAGAGTGATGTAGTTCAGTCATTTCCCTAGTCCTAAAAGTGTAGTGAAATGTAAATTGGTGAAGAAGGATTTATAGGTAGAGTATATCATTTGCAGCTATCCAAAAAGTAGCTGACGAAATTATTGTTGAAAAGCATACTTGGTTTAAAGATAGTAATGGCACTAAACTCCCTGTGAAGTTGTTTTTTCTGGCATGCTGTCATTTTGAAGAAAACAATAAAAGAAGGTCATTACCAAAGATGCGTCTAAGGACGCATTTTGGAAATTTCCGTTAGTAGTTTGTTTTTAATACGGCGAAGCTGTGAATGGGTGCGGGCAAGCATCGCTAAAGTGCGTGACATCGCGTAGCTGCAATCAGCTGAATGAGAACATGTCCCGGACGCTGATGCAAAACATGACTCGGCGACTTTTGAATTGAAATCGAGATTCATAGAATATTATTTTCTCGGAGTATACAGCCTTCACTGAGCTAAAACTTCATCAGGTTAGTTGTTAAGCACCCTTCTTTAGATTTTGAGAACTTTTGTTGCTTCAAACGAAAAGAAAAACGCACAAATGATGTACTCTACCTTTAAGCCCAAGAAACTAGACAGTATGGTCAGGCTTGTGCAGGGGTGAGATTTTTCAGGAATTTTTCTCGACTTCTGGATTTTACGTCAGCATTTTCTTCCATTGATTTCAATGTTTCTTAAAGAACCAACTTTTGAAATCTCGAAATCCTGAGGTGGTTACTTATAAAGTTTTTACAGAACAAAAGGTATGGGTAGTTTAAATGGTGCTATATAGGCAAATATAGACGTAAATGGCACAGACCCTACGTTGCTCTGGGGCCCTCAGCAACCCATGAAACACCTGCTGATTATTTCATGGATGTTTCTATTTCTGCCAATCTAACCCGTTCTGTTGGTTTTATGAGTAGAAAATTGAAAAATTTGACGAGACTAATTTTTCTGTTCTCCCAGCTTGAGCTGGAGAGATGGCGACAGGGACTGGCGAGCCAGAGTTTGGGTGTAAAGGAACGCATCTACAACGTGCTGCAGTTTGTTGATGGCGGATGGATGATGGACCAGAGATTGGTACGCTCTGTTTTTTTTACAATTCCCTAAACAAGAGCCAAACGCCATCCCCCTTATTTTTTCCAGCGATGGTTGTGCAACTGATTGAAATTCCCTTACAAGACTGTTTAAAAAATATTTTCCCATTCCTTGATATGTTTCAATTTAGATTTTCTGTAATGTAAAATTTAAAAGCAAGGGGTAGGATTGAGCTGTGTAGTACCGTTTGTGGACTGCTGGCACCTTCACTTTCTTAAAAAAAAAAAAAATGAAATATATTTTTAATAAGATAAGATGAGATTTGAAGGTTTGCATGGTGGAAAGATACTAAGACAAGATAAGTTTGCGATAGCACCATGTTGGTACCGCAAACTTATCTTGTCTTAAGATAAGATAAAGAAAAATTGGGGGGGGGGGAAAAGTTAGGTATACTGGCTCAATAAGTGCCTTTTTGTCAGGTGAATTTTAGGTGAATCAGAACACAATCGTGATTTCTTGAGATACTCGGTATCAATTTGAAGAATGTTGGAGTCGCCCATTTGATAAAACTTTTTAACAAAAATGTGGACAGGATGGCGAGATTGACGAGACGCGGCTGCAGCAGATGAACGGCTTACGGGGGCTGTGCCTCCCCATGCTGTGCTTCCTACTGCACACGGTGCTACACACCACAGAGCAGTACAGAGAGTGCCTAGCCCTAGCCGATGTCATAGCCTCTGAAGATCATCAGCTGTACAAGGTAAGCCCTATATCATTCACACAGCAGTACAGAGAGTGCCTAACCCTAGCCGAAGTCATAGCCTCATGTCGGGGAACGGACCTGCCAGTATACAACTTTCCAGGGGTTTTTTTGCACGACAAACTCACTGGATCTAGGCAATGGCACTCACATTGTCCTTCAACTTCTTTCCTCTTTGACATTTTCACCAATGAGGGCGCTCTTGTGCACAAAATCTATAACCATTGGTTATGTCCTGTCCCATTTTCACCAATGAGGGCGCTCTTGTGCACAAAATCCACAACCATTGGTTATGTCGTTCAAAATAGCCACTCTTTGTCATTTTCACCAGTGAGGGCGCTCTTTCATGTCTTTTGCACAAAACCCATATCCATTGGTTGTGTCCTTCAATATAGCCACTCTTTGTCATTTTCCCCAGTGAGGGCGCTCTTGTGCACAAAATCCATAACCATTGGTTATGTCCTTCTAAATAGCCACTTTTTGTCATTTTCACCAGTGAGGGCGCTCTTATGCACAATATCCATATCCATTGGTTATGTCGTTCAAAATAGCCACTCTATGCCATTTTTACCAATGAGGGCGCTCTTTTGCACAAACTTCATAGCTATTGGTTGTGTCCTTCAAAATAGCCACTCTTTGTCATTTTCACCAATGAGGGCGCTCTTGTGCACAAAATCCATAACCATTGGTTGTGTCCTTCAAAATAGCCACTCTTTGTCATTTTCACCAGTGAGGGCGCTCTTATGCACAAAATCCATATCCATTGGTTATGTCGTTCAAAATAGCCACTCTGTGCCATTTTCACCAATGAGGGCGCTCTTGTGCACAAAATTCATAGCTATTGGTTGTGTCCTTCAAAATAGCCACTCTTTGTCATTTTCCCCAATGAGGGCGCTCTTGTGCACAAAAACCATATCCATTGGTTGTGTCCTTCAAAATAGCCACTCTGTGTCATTTTCACCAATGAGGGCGCTCGAGATCTTGAGCACAAAATCCATATCCATTGGTTATGTCCTTCAAAATAGCCACTCTTTGTCATTTTCACCAATAAGGGCGCTCTTGTGGACAGAATTCATAGTTATTAGTTATGTCCTTCAAAATAGCCACTCTGTGTCATTTTCACCAACGAGGGCGCTCTTGTGTGCGTAACCACTGATTAATATCCCTACCGCAGGTTTTTAGCCGACAGGAGCTGCGGCAGTTCCTCTCCAAGCAGAGCGAGTCGTCGCTGCATCTGCTGAACCAGAACCTGGACCCGCTCGGTTACGAACTCGTGTCTTGAGGAGGCCCTTGATGCAAGACTTGGAGAATATTCAAGGGTTTTTCACGGTGTCCGTTTGTTTGTCTAATTCTTTAGCGTGTTTAATTAAGGGAATAAATGTGAGCTTGGCAGGTTTTAAACACTCTGTTTAAGACTGGTTGGAGTCTGGATGCTGATAACTACCAGAGCCCGAGTCTGGATGCTTTTAATTATCGGGCGCAGTTCAAAATATGACAACTTTTGAATATTGAAATCAGTTCCTGAGAATATTCTTTTCTCACAATATACAGCATTCACAGAGCAAAAAACTTCATCAGATTAGTTGTTTTTAAGCAACCATCTTTAGATTTTTAGCACTTTTGTTGCTTCAAATGAAACAAAAGTACAGATACTTCATTCTACCTTTTGTAAATTTTGTACTTCGGAATACCAGTGCCGAGTACCAGTCCAAAGCCATATACATCACATGACATTTTGGCTGGTGACCTGTTACTGCTAAGCCAATATCTTCTGTGCTTAGTAGCTCCAGCGGCGTTGGTCCCAAACGGTATTTTCCAAAGGAACGTTTCAAGTGCCCGCTTTGTCGTTGACTTATTGTCACCTTGTCCAATACAATTTGCAAAACAAACAAAGTTTGTGTATGTATACTTTTGTGCATGTATGTATACGTTATATTTGCTGCCTTTGTAGGATCATACTTTTTGAAGGATCGTTTCAAAGAAGTATATGTTTTACTTTAAACAATTATTATAAACAACATTGTGATTTGAAATTGTTTAGTTGACAATACTGTTTTCATATTTTTTTTCGAATTAAACATGATCCCTGATATAGCAGGAATCCACAAAAATAAAATTGATGTTAGTATTGAGGGATGTTGTGGACTGTGGACCTACTTAACTCGGATAAAAAAAATTGTTTGAAGTCATTTTTAATGAGACTTGAATGTTTAAGTACCAAGGTAATAGAGACAGGAAACGATATCAAACTTTGGAGCCTACATTTATTGAATGACCCTACTGCAAAACAGGTCGCATTGCAATTAAAATGTGGCCAGAAATGGAAAATAAATTGATTAGAACTTTCAATCTCGGATACTTTTTCTTGCACAAGATCATTCCATTTAGTAAAGCACTTAATGAGTTCCGTTCATTGAACAGTTATCTTCATTGTGTCCATTATCAGTCTATTAACCCCATTTCGTTAACATTTGACCCAGTTGGAGGCAAATCAACAGCGATATTAGTGAAGGAGTTCAAATTCTCAGTGGAACAGCAAGTTCCCGTGCCACAATTATAAAATTTCATCGCGACTGTAGTCTCAATTCAACCTTTATCGTTGGAATGGAGCGACCTTTGCCCATCACAAGTAAATTTGTTGGGAGAAGCTGAAATAGGTACAAATTTGGCGACAAGATGGTGTACTGATGAACCACAAACGATATCATCTTGATCCCTTTAGATTACAAAAAAGTGTAGATCATTGTGTATTTTTATGGTAAGCCGCCTACCGTTCAATATTTATGTCTCGTAGCTGCTCTCATTTCATCACCGCAAATGTGCAATTAACAAGTGACGCGAGGAAAGATCGTCCCCTCCCTTTGTGAGTTGTGTGGTTCTGAGAAGAACCAGTTGTTTTAACTCGACGTTTCGAACAGTATGCTCTGTTCGTCATCAGGAGACTATAAATTATACATGTATTATATATTTTATACAAAATATATGATTTTTTTTCTCTCTCTCTCTCTCTTCCAAATGCTTTTTTCCTAGCTTCTCTTTGAATGAGACATCGAACGAAAACATCAATCAACATTTAGTTATTGAATTATTTCTTCACAAGATTCGATTTATTGGCTGCTTTCGCAGGGCGGGTTCATTTGAGCGCAAACTTAAAGCCCTTTTTTTCAGCATGTTGCAGACGTCAAAACTCGGGAAAAGTAGGGGTCGCTAAAACAAAACATACAAATTGAAAATTCCTCAGGAGAAAAAAAAAGATTATATTTTTTGAAGAGCACGGAGGGGGCTGTGGTCCAATGGTTACGGTGTTCGACTCGTGTGCCGTGGTACATGGGTTCGAATCCTGACGGGGAACATGGGCCTTGTTCTCTTGAGCAAGGCACTTTACCATTATTGCTTCGTCCTTCGGATGGGACGTAAAGCCGTAGGTCCCGTGTGTTGTGTAATGCACGTTAAAGAACCCAGTAACACTTATCGCTAAGAGAAGAGGTTTACCCCGGTGTTTCTGGCAGTGGCTGCAATATGGGCCGCAGCACCTTGTAAACCCTTTATAACCCATAATGGGTCTCATATTTCTCATAAAAAACTTCATTCCTGTCTTTAAAAGTAGACATAATTACCAGTGCCCTGAGTACCTAATTGCTGGTAGATACGTGCGCTGTATAATAATCCGGTATTATTATTATTATTATTATTAAATCGTCTTTAAGATTTGGACGCTAAATTTAAACGCCTCGGGACCAATGGCACTTCTTTCCTTCAAACCATGTTCTTGTAATACCTAATATTATAGGAAAATGTCATTGGAAATGGGAACCCTGCCCCACACGCCGCTCCCTCGTCGCAACATGTAGGCTGCATGCATTCCATCGACCGTGTAATTATGTTCAGGGTCGAACAACGACCTGTCGAACAATGCTCATTTATGTTGAAAGGCCAAACGCGAATTGGTGACGTCACGACCATTAATGTACATGTCCCTGCTGATTCACAGAAGCCTTGGAAAACATGTCAACCTTCCCGACGGGTAATTTAACTACGAAAGTGTCGGGACGTGAAAATTTGCTTTCGCGTGAATACACTCAGGCCTATCGGCCTTCAGACCTCCTTCGGCCCAATGTCAAATTTCATGACCGGCGGACGGCCGCGGACCTGAAAAGAAACGAAAACCGACGCATCGAAATACCAGCCCGACAGAACAACACAAAGCCGATTAACTGTGATTTCAAGGTTCACTTAGAAACGGTGTGCGTTTACGTCAGCCATCTTGGCGCCGTTTACAGAGAAATGAGTGTCTATATTGTTGGAACTCCTCTCTGACAAACGCCCGTGTTTGTCGCTCGACAAACGCCCGTGTTTCAGTCTCTAGTGTTGGGATTTATGCTACGTTAAAGAATCCGGAATCGCACCTATAGTCCTATACCGATTTATGAAGACAACCTTGCTCAATGCTAATAAGACAGGCCGATACTCTGGCTGTGAAATTGTTCCGGTAGAAATGGTTTCGGTCTAAAGAATTGAAGAACAAAATGTGCTTATGTTTTGTCTGGTGTTTCTCAAGAGGTATCTGTGGCCAGATCCCTGCGCTAGAACTTAAACAGGCCAGTTTTTATGCGCTCTTCTAAAGATTTTGAGCATGTAATTTTGTTGTTTCATATGAAAACAAGAAGCACAAAATAGCACATGATCCTTTGTACCTTTAATAATTACTTTGTTTTTGAAGTAATCTTTATCGCCATTTTTTTTCAGGCCAAACATGAATTCAGTTTGGCCAATTTCCTCTTGTCCAAGATACAATCTTCTCCCCTTTCTTGGAGGATGCGGGAAAGCCGTAAAGAAAGAAAGAAAGATGCCAGTTACACCCGATCCCCATCCATTTCGCCGTCTGAACAACTAAACTATGGGAAATAAATCCATACAGAAGTGATACATGAATGCCGAATGTGTTTTATAGGCGAAATCATAAACTCACATTCCTAGCCCAAGCCCTATAGCCCTGTGCCCTAAGCTGTTGGTCTGCCCGGTTTATATATGCCGGACGGGTCATCACAGGCCAACTATTTTGGCCGCGGGCGCTGTTCCGTCTACAGTAGGTTTCAGATAACATCTTCAATACAGGGTGAGTAAAAAAACAAAACGAAACCAAAATGTCGGGACTATTGTTTTAGTGAAGTTCTGCATGTAGCACTTTCAAAATCTAGGATATAAAAGTCCAAATCATAAGCTTTCTTTCAGTACAAGAATCATTCAAATCACTCATGTACTGTTCAAGTTCCGGAATTTTAAACACAACCACCGTTTTAAAGTTCTGTCCATGGATCACAAAAAGGTGTGCGTTCTTTCAGCAAAACGAAAACAATTCACAAACATCCCTGTGATTTGTTTTCGTTTTGCTGTTTTCGTTTACCTTTTTTGTGATCCGTGGACAGAACTTTAAAACGGTGGTTGTGTTTAAAATTCTGTAACTTGAAAATTACATAAATGATTTGAATGATTCTTGTACTGAAAGAAAGCTTATGAATTGGGTTTTCATATCCTAGATTTTGAAAGTGCCACATATAGAACTCCTAAAAGAATGGTCCTGACATTTGGGTTTCGTTTGTTTGTTCATTTGTTTTTTGGGTGTTTTTTTTTTAATTTTGAACTAGAACTGAATTCCACCTTTAAACTAGAATGAAGAATTTCGAAGTAGCGTCGACAATAAATGGTGAGGGTTACACGAGAAAAGTTAAGGTCCCAAATGTATAACAAGGGTCTAACACGGCTCTGATGCAACAGGAGACATTTGTCAATCGGTAATTCTTAATTCATCCGGGATTCTTTGCAATTTACATTGCAAAGATTTACTTTCAAGTTGATGAAATTTGAGAAAAGCCTCCCGTATAGTGTTGCATGTAATTATGCACCTTATCATTTTAAAACTATGCATGAAATTTTCCAAATGAAAAAAAAAATGGATTGGAAATATTTGTATCAGCTTGTCCTATCTCCAGTTTCAGAATGATTGATTGCACTCTGAAAGGATGCAGTCACTTGTTTATTTTTAATTTCCACGGCTGGCGTGTTTATTTTGCCACAAAACACGAAGCCGTGAACTGGAGTAGCCTAACCCGCTGAAAATGCCCACCGCTTGTTCAGCTGATTCGTCCACTGCCTTTTTCCACATGTACAGAAACTAGGTATATTGTTGTTACTTTAATATACATTTTGCCATGGGAAATTCAATCATTTGAACCGCTCAACCCATAACCTTGGCGGCTGACCTTAGATTATTCTGCTTGAGATATAATGTACATCTCATGCTCATATTGACCGTGCTGAGTTTGTTTCAGTACACGTACACGCAAAATATCCATGCACGCATGCGTGGTATTCAAGAGGGTAGTGCAGGAACAAGGAAAGTGAAGTTCAAAATCCTAGACTAGCGTACGGAACAGAACACCAAGATGTGAATTCCACACTGTAACCTAAGAACGTTGTTGTTTAGCGTCACTAATCAATTCAACTTACAGAAATTGTTAACCGAAAATGAACCAAAATTTAAAGTATTTTTAACAATTTGACGGGAAAGACATGCTACATGTTGGGAAACATTTCTTCTTCTTTTTATTTTACTACCATTGGATAATTAAATTCTCTTTAATTTGGCTGCTATTTCTCATTCACGCTGTCAGACCATGTAGTGGCAACTATCTTTCGTGTTCCAACAAGTGTTGTTCATTGCAATCAATAACATTGCAGATATTTCCTGAGTTTAAACAAAGTTGTGAGCGATCTGGTCATTTTTGGTATTTGCAAGAAGACTTTATAAAGGCCTTATAAAAAGCTAAATAGTTCTGTACACACTATACGATAAATTAAGTCCAGAATACATTTACAAGAATGTTATATGCTCTATTTTACTCATTATACTTTGCGACATCTTAACACTATATAAATGGAGATAAAGAACCTGCATTGCTCTCCGATAGACCTTTTTCGCGAAGAAGCCATGTTTGATCGCGTTCCCTGAATCTATTTCATAAATTTTAAACTGTTGAATGTGATGGTGCCAGACTATTTTATGACTGGCGTGCGTGTCCAGCCTCACTTTCTTTGTCTTAAATGTGGCTTAAAACATTAGGGTATATGGAATCATAAATTTGAAATTATTCGTCAGAGCAGACTGGTATTAATTTGTAATGATATTTTACTTCATTGCTTTCATTTCTACTATAGCAAGTTCCAAAAATGAAGGGTTTACCACGCTGTCAATTAAATATGGCCGACTTGTGAATTATAGTCTACTGTCACGGACGTATAATTGTAGAAAAAAGGCTTAAGTAACCGTGCTGCATGTATGATATACTTTCCAATGTC